AGAGGATGTTTCTCTTTTTCATTGGTTTTGGCAATTTTGTTGTTCAAACAATTATACTGTTCTCATTTTCATTGTGATGGTTTTACAACAATAGAGTCAAAACTGAACAGGCTATTTGTTATATAACAGGAATTTTTATCACTTGATTGATCTTGAATCGCTAAGTCATGCAAATTCCAGAAGACAGGCAATCATAACTGAAGTATTTAAGATATCCCGGAACTTGAAACCGGGATATTCATGACTGATATTAGTGATCACTTTCCGATATTTATAAAAGTAAGAAATTTAAAAACCATGTCTGATTATGAACCAAAAGTTATAAATTTGAAAAAACGCAATCTTAAAACAAGTAACACTAATGAATTATCAATCAGACTAAAACAAGAAACGTGGTCCAGCGTGTATAGATGTCAGGACACCAACGATGCTTTCAATAATTTTTTAGATATATTCCTAGATTGCTTTAATAAAACCTGTCCTCTAGAGGGCATAATAATTAAGACAAAAACAGTTTCTAATCCGTGGATGGATAAATCACTGATAAAATGCTCAAAAAAGAAGCAAAAACTCTATAATAAATATCTTAAAAATAAAAACACTGATAACGAGAAAAATTACAAAAATTATAAATATTTTTACCAAAATCTGATTAAAAAGGCAAAAAATAAATACTATAGTAATGAAATCATTAAATGCAAATCTGATAGTAAGAAAACGTGGTCCGTCATTAACAAAATAATGGGACGGAAAAAAATAAACACAACTTCTTTACCAAAAAGAATTAATATTAACAATACAGACATATTCTGTGAAAAACAAATATCCGAAGAATTTAACAAATACTTTATAAATATTGGTCCAAATCTCGCTAATAAAATAAATCCAACAACGGATTCATTTAAAATTTATCTAACACCCACAAATAAAGCCATCATGTACGATAAAGAATTTGTATATAAAGAATTTGAAGAAGCCTTTTCCTCTTTAAAAAAAAAGAAAGCACTTGGATTTGATGAAATAACTGATTTAGTTTGTAATTTTAATTTACTTATCAGATTAAATAGATTAGTAGATTAAATAAGTGATTTAGTTATTTTTAATAAAACCAGTTTAAGCAGACTTCTGATCCATATACTAAAGCTCTCAATAACATCTGGGATTTTCCCTGATGTACTTAAATTAACAAAAGTAATCCCTATATTTAAATGTAATGAACATTCGGACATAACCAACTTTAGACCTATATCAATACTTTCTGTTTTTTCAAAACTCTTCGAACGTGTAATTTATAATAGAATCTATAATCACTTTACCAAAAACAAATTTTTTTGGATTTCAAAAAAATCTTTCAACAGAGCATGCAATTATTGAATTAGTTAATCAAATAACCGATGGTTTTAATCAAAACAAATTTACTTTAGGAGTTTTTATTGACTTATCAAAAGCTTTTGATACAGTTGACCACTGCATCCTATTAGATAAACTAAAATACTATGGTATAATTAATAAAACTTACAATTGGTTTAAAATCTTACCAATAGAAAACAATATGTGTGCAATATACAATCTGAAGTATTAAATGTTTTATGTGGAGTTCCCCAAGGATCTATCCTTGGTCCACTTCTGTTTCTAATTTATATAAATGATTTTTGCAATGCATCTTTAAAACTAGATTCAGTCATGTTTGCTGACGATACAAATCTATTTCTTACTAACAGTGATATCAAGAATCTATATGCAGACATAAATATCGAACTAATTAAAGTAAATAATTGGTTTAGAGCTAACAAACTCTCGCTTAACTCAGAGAAAAAAAAATATATATTATTCCATAAAAAGGCGCAAGAAGAAAACCTTCCTCTTAAGTTGCCTGACCTTATCTTAAATGATAACTTAATTAAAAAACAAACTAGCATTAGATTCTTAGGAGTTCTTGTTGATGAGAAGCTATCCTGGCTTCCTCAAATAAGATATATTCAATCTAAAATCAGTAATATAATTGGTATGATGTATAGAGTTCGCTCATATATCAATAAACAAAGTCTAAAACTAATTTACTTTGGACTAATTATTTGCTTTATCAGCTATGCAAACATATCATGGGCAAGTACTCAGCCATCAAAACTTAAAAAAATCTATAGTTTACAAAAACACGCATGCTGAATCATTAACTTTAAAAATAAGCGGGAGCATGCAAAACCTTTAATGAAAGATATGAAAATGATGGATGTTTTTGAAATAAACATCTATCAGCATTTAATTTTTATGTATCAATTTAATAATAATCTCTCTCCTACAAACTTTACTAACAAGTTTGAAATAAACATAAATGAAAACTTCTATCTAAGAGCAAATATAAGTAACACATATAAACTGCCTCAAAACCTTAATAAATATACGGAATATAGCATTGCATATCGGGGGCCAAATATATGGAATAGATATCAATAAGGATCCAAATGTATGGCAAATTCATTAAGTTCATTTAAGTTTCTGATAAAAAAAGAAATTTTTAAAATTTGGTTATTATTTGTGCTTAAAAGGATTACAAAGTAATTTTCTTTATAATCTAATTTATTTGTTTTTATTGATCAGCGCAGCAGTTTTATGCCCAATAGGGTTTTTAATTTAATTTAATATCCATAACCTAATGAAAATGTATATAGGGGGCTCTATGAAAAGATTGCAATGAGGTTTTGTCATCTTCATCTTCTTTGAGCCCCTGTCTGTTTAATTCTTTATTTTATAAAGATCATAGTAAAAAAGTATAGTTTATTTTATATACTGTATATACAAAAACGGTGCTTGTTGACAAGATTTTACTGTCTTCTTTGTTATACGGACATATTTATTTCTTTCTTGTATATATATGTGTTGATTATATTTGTTAAACAGCAAAATAAATGTAAAAAAAAAAAAAAAAAAAAAAAGATAATCTCGTGAATTTTCTTTTGGTAAGATTCTGTCGATTGCTTGTTTGCTTTTTTCATACTTTTTAGATTATTTCTAAGCTCACAAAATTGATTTAAATTCTAGATAGTCTCTTCATAAGTACCTATAATAAATTAGTGTGATCAGGTTTTTAAGAAGTGATATCTATCATTAAATAACGTTCCAATTTAACTTTCTGCACAAAATATCCAAATATCGCTGTTGGATTTCAAAATATGATTTCAATTTTTGGTGTTATGAGAACCTTATAACATACACAATAATTTGTTGAAAGGTTTTTGATGGGACAATTTTTCAGCGCTAGGGTCCCAGATTTTCAGGATATGGATTCGGAACTTGCTTCTAAAGAGTTAAGAGTTAAGATGCAACAAAATTGCAAAAAGCATTGGAGTTTTATATAAAGCAAGAAGCGTTTTAAACAAACATTCACTAACTCAACTATATTACTCTTTCATACAATGTCATATTAATTATGTTAATATTGCATGGGGTAGTACCCATAAAAGTAAATTAAAGCCACTTTATTGTCAGCAGAAGCATATTGCACGTATTATAAATTTCAAAAATCGTTTTACTCACTCAAGGTCACTTTTATTTAACATGAATGTTTTTAATATATATCAAGTAAATGTTTATAATGTTCTTTGTTTTATGTTTAAATGTAAAACCAACTCTTCTCCAGCTTCCTTTTTTGATTTATATTCTTTAAAAGAAAGAAACAAATATTCTTTAAGAAAGGATAATTTTATTAAACAACCAAAATTTCAAACAAACTTTGGTAAATTTTGCATTTTTATGGAACCAAATAGTTTTAAAAAATTTTGATTTTTCTCATGAATAGAATTATTATATGTTCAAACGAAAACTAAAAAAAGTAATATTCTCAATTGAAAATATATTTATATACTTTTAATTTTACCCAGTTTTGTCAACACTCATTTATATTTTATTTTTATACAATATTGATTTAAAGTTTATGTCAGAAACTGTAGTTAAACATCATTATTTGAATTTTGTTAAAAGTTCCACTGACATTATTTGTACAGTAGGCATTTATTATTTACTTGTTTACTTTAATTTATATTTTATTTCGTAGTTTTGTGAATAATTTGTATTACGAACGGTATATACTTTTAATATGGAATTTAATTTTGTAATGAAAAAAAAATATATATATATATATATATATATTATTATTAAAAAAAAACAAAAAAACAAAAAAATACTAAAAAAAAAAAAAAAAATACAAAAAAAAATTTGATGTATGTGACAAGATGTATCTGCAAACATTGTATGTATGATACTTTTGGAAGTTAATCATCCTTTGACAGTGGTTTAGCATTTTTGTCGGCGAAAGCATTAACGTAAATGCACCAACATTTGATAATTATGGCTTCTCACACAATGACACCATCATTTGGCATCTAAATTCTTCTACACAATCTTTTGGACAATCTTGAAGTGCATTTGGATGTACCTAGTGCAATCATATTCTTATTATTTTCGTTTATTTATTAATTAATTAACAATTAAGATCAGTGTAACTGATAGATTTGAGTAACAAGAATCAGTGATCGAGTCAGATGCGAGACGTATTTATTTATTAAGAAATCTATGATATTATTGTTTTCGCTTGAATCATCCGGTTCAGAAGAATTAGTACTTTAATTCCAGCCATAAAGACCATAACTTAAAAAAGTTAAAAACTTGTGTTTATTTATTTTTGTTTTTCCTAAAATCTAAAGTAAGATCAAAGTTCTTCAACAGCGGTTCTCGGTGACAAGACCTGTATGGTCTTCTTTGAGTATCCGCGTTCTTTATCTTAATTCTTTATTTTTTTGTAACGATTTTTTTGCATGTAAATTTTTCTTATTATATATTTGTAAATATTGTATTAAATATTGTAATAAAGAACAAAAAAAAAAAAAAAAAAAAAAAAAGATGTGGTGACGTGAGGGGAGGGGATAAAATTGCATGACGTAATTTGTGGACGACCCGTTTGTAAATCCACGTGTGTCCTATGATACAAATTGACGGAACTTTTATAAATTAGCCGCCATTAAGTATTGCGCGAAATAATTTTATTTTAAAAGTTCGGAAAAGTAGTGAGATCAAAACACAAAATAATGGATAGCATTAAAAATCCACAGATAGTCACACATGTGAACAAGTCTTTAAATTACACTATTTTTGATGCTAAATTTGTGCCAAAAAGTGCTAGGTTTGTTTGTCTTGGTTCGAATGCTAAAGGATCTGGAGTTATGCAAATCTACGAAATCACGCATAACGACCTTAAAGGCGACATTAATCTCCTTTCAGATGTAAGAAATAGATGGAATATATATATATATATATATATATATATATATATATATATATATATATATATATATATATATATATATATATATATATATATATACCCACATACATACATATTTACACATACATACATGTTTGTATATACACAAATGTGTGTATATTAACATTTGTGTATATACACAAATGTTTTTGTTAAGTAAACCACCTCGCATTTTGACGATTTTTTTTTTAATTTTTGAAAATTTTACTTATAAGAAGGTATATTTATTAAAAATATTTCAATAATATCAATATAAGAACTTTCAGCTGAAATGTTAAATTTTATGTATATTATTTAAACATTATTTTAAATTGTAACATGGCAAAAAATCATTAATAATAAAAGATACATTTAAATATGTGTAGATATGTGGGCTGATTTTTTAAATTGATCAAGTAATAGAATGTCATATATCATTAGAAAGCCCTTTAATACAGTATTTTAAAGGTATTGTTTAAAAAAATTATATAAATTGAGTATTTCTAAAATAATTTATGACATTTTTAGTAGCAAATTTTTGATATAAGGATTTCTTAAATAAAACTGTGGTCACAAAAAAAAAATTTCACATAAATTTTTATAACTGTCAATTCTTATTCAAATATCTATAACTTGGTATTACAAGATAGATGTGAAAATGGGCTATAATTTTATATTATTTTCTAGAAAAATGGTATATCGAGGTAACAGGAGAAGGTGCCAATTCCCCACCTATGCCACACAAAAATACTACTTTTTTTAATATAAAAGAGTGTTTTTTTTTTCTTCATGAAATTGTTTATATTTATATACAACAAGTTGTTATTATTTTATTTCGCATCACTATCGAGTATTAGAGGTTTATCTTAAAGTTGGATATTTATGGGAAAGGTTTATCACACCCTATCAAAATTTCATTTTTTAAATTGTTTCAATTTTTACTAAAATGAAGGAATCTAGTATAAAAAACTTTTCAATACTTTACAAAATAGTAACTACTAGTTTATAAATTGCCTTTGTTAGGGCACATGCTATCTCTTTGCCCCAACCAGAAAAAAATATTTTGAATGAGAATTTTACAAAAAAGTGTTAAAATGTTTTTTAAAAAAGAGAGAAATTATTATTAAAAACCACATGAAAAATTTAACCACATGAAAAGATGTATCTTAGTATCCGTTTTGTCATGTAAAAGAACAGATTAACTCCAACCTAAAAAAAAAAAACACTCATAAAAACAACAAGTCTTTGGAAATAAAAAATGTATTTAATTCTTGTATTAGCTTTTATTGAATGATTTAATTTTTAATGATTTAATGAATGATTTAATTATATTAACGAACTAAAATAAATCATTTTTAACAATAGACACCACAAAAAGGTAAGAGCTGTCTATCTAAAAATTTGCAAGCCACAAAACTTACAGTACTTATTTTGCAAGTCACAAAACTTGCTATACTGCGAATATCTTTACATTATTTTTATATTCCAATTAAGAAAATATTAACTCCCCTGATATAGCATCAGCAGCTAGCTGGATTTTTTAAATCTAATGTTTGACAGTTTTAATATCAGTTTAATCTTGTTTCCAATAAGAAATGTCTGTCTATTAGTAATCTCTGCTCAAATTTCATTATGTTCAAAGTTTTTTTATTTTCGTGTTATGTAAACAGACCACTTAAATATTTGATCTCTATGCAACTCTTCAAAGTTATCTAGTTAATTTATAATCCTTTTTTTTTTTTGATCTTAATTCGCTAGATGTATAACAAATTGTAGCATTAGGACATTGTCCTTTGGCATCACTAAATATATTAATTAACTCCGCATTATCTATATTGTGAAGCCATGCACTCGCTGTCTCCTTAAGTTCCGTTGTAAAAGAAAGGGAGAAATGCCTCTTATATTGACAAGTCAAGACTCAAATGCATAAAGACAAGCAGAAGTCATTTTAATAAGTTGGTCATCAGTTGGGCTTAAAGTAGTAATAGATTTTAAAATATTTGGGAAAAGCATAATTAAGAATAAACCTAAAAATGATATGAATTACACTTATGAAATCTCAAAAAATCAACAAAAAGTGTGGTAGGATCTAAACAAAAAGTTTTGCATGCTTGTATAATAGTCTATTGTGATAATAACTATAATTAAAAGATTTTATTTTAAAATAATAAAAGTTGAGTTTAAAAACACTAACTAGGCTTTTATCAAGAAAAAACTAATAAAGTATGTGATTTTATCACTTATTTATATATTGTGTTTTAATAAAATGGTCCACTAATACTTTCACTTAACAATAAATTCAATTCAGTTTGAGTCAAAAATGTTAAGCTTTTTTAATATATAACATTTAAAAAAAGATTAAGGTTTTTACACTTATCAACATTTTTTTGTTTAAAATAATTATTACTTATACTATTATGAAAAAAAATAACATACTAGTTGTTCAAGAATCCATTAAAGCTTCGTATATTCCATTTTATTATATAAAAATAAAATTATATAAAAAAGTATTTTATTGCAAATCGGTCCCCTTTTGCCCCAGCATTTCTCTGTTACCGAAAAAAAATCAGAAAATCATAACTTTGGTACCAAAAGTGCTACACTTAGTAAACTGTTTTTTCCCAATCATTTTTCGTTGAAATTTAACATGTGCATAGAAAATATATGTAAAAATTTTTTAAAATAATAGAGTCGGAATCAACATTGCTTTGACTACAAATTAATGTGAGAGCATTGTCTAAATTTTAATGCAAATTTTAAGCAAAACAACCCATAAAGAAATTTAGTAACCATACATAAAAGCTTTATAGAAATCACACTTGAACTTTCTTCTTTCAAAAAATAATCTAAGTTATATATATTTTTAAAAAGAAAGACTGCAAAAAAATGTTTGAATAAGAGGTTGTCCATAAATTACGTCACGCACTAGGAGGGGGGAAAGGTTGTGGTTTTGTCCTGATTTATTACAAGGGGGAAGGGGTATCCAATTTTGCGACGCAACAATTTTTTATTTAAATAATGTAAGCAACAATTAATGACTGTTGTTATAAATATGAGAGTTGTAAGTTGCTGAATAAATATATGTGAAGAACAGATTTTAAAATTGTGAGCACGGCTAAGAATTGAAAAAATCAAAAACTTCAAATAACTGATGGCTTTTTTTGTCATTGGAAGCAAAAAATCTATTCAAATAAACAAAACTTTGAGTTAGGGGTTGTCCACAAATTACGTCACCCAATTTTTTATCTTTTGACCCCTTTCCCCCTTGTCACAACATTGTTAGTAACAAGTTCACAAAACCACTAATCTAATTCCCCTAAAGCGTTACATAATTTAACTGCCAGTTAGGATAACTCAAGGATTATTTACATTAAATGTAAAAATTATTATATTAAATAATGTCATGATTGTTTATATTTTATGTAACTAACCAGGGGCTATTCTAGACCATTTTCGAAATTTTCAAACATATTTGGGGTCCGCTAAATTAAAATTTTAGGACTTTTTTTTTTGTTTTTTACACTTTTTCTACGTTTTTACGACAAATATTGTTTTTTTCGCAAAAATAACGCCGAATTTTTGTCTGCCGAAACAAGGGGGTCTGCCGCCTAAATTTTTTTCCCAGAATAGGCCCTGCTTACTATCAATAAAATTCCTCAATTTCTTATGACAAATAAAGCAAATCAAATCTTGTTGAAATTAATAAATCAAAAACTTTATTCCACATAGTTCCTGATGAAATGATGACTTTGAGCCCTTGATGACTTTGTAGCAAAACCATCTCAATAACCAAATCAAGTACTGCAGATTCAATTGTGCAATATGCTAAATCAAAGAGAGAAAAGTTCAAGATTCACTAAAACAAGAAATTAACTTGATCAGCAGAGATTTGATTGAGTTGATGAAGAGAATGCGGACAATTAACATCTGAGCAAGAAAATGAGCATATAGAAAACTAGAAAAGAACTTCAAAAAGAAAAAAGATTCAATGTTGAGAAGCCGGAAGTTCAGAAGTAATAGGAGGGAAGCTATAAAAAAGCTATGCGAATTAACTTCATTAGCAAAAAGGACTTTCTACCTTGACAAATGGGCATCCATGAATTAAAGAACAACTAGATTTATTAAAAACTGTTTGCTCTTTACGGGTTAGCAAAAAGAAAAGATGCTGCTGTTAGAAGTGCAAAAATGTTAAGTGACTGAAACATTGAAAGAGTTAATCTTTAATTTTGAGAATTGGGACTACCATGAAAAAGTAAATATTTTGACTATATAATATGTTAGTATGCTAAGCAAATTATCTCATTTAATTGATTATTTTTAAATTATATTAAAACTTTTATTGATAAAAATTGTTTCTTTTTTTAATAGATTTAACTTTTTTTGTAAAGTAGCTATTTAATTTGCATTTGATAAATTTATAGAAAATAAACACACCATTCAATTTATCAGTTTTAGAGAAACTAATTTTTATTTTTCAGCTTGGTTTTCAAGTTAGTAGAAGTGGTACTTACCTTTGATTGAATCCAAGAAACAGCGCAACTCAATAAGGGAAGAGGCATATAAAAACTGCCCCTGTTAGTTTAGTTAGATCCCAAAATGATAAACATCCCAAGCATATTGATAGGAAATTCTACACAGAAACAATTAGGCGTCTTGAAATGATATCATCACTCCTTGTTCCAAAAGTTTCTTTTCTCAGTCAGGACAACAAAGCTAGGGTAATATAAGTTTTTTATTTAATTTTTCATATCAAGAAAAATTTAATCTACATTTCTATCACATTGTTTTAGGTTCCCAGAAGATTGACTGCTGCAAATAAGCAAGTGCCATTGATTATTCATATGGAGTTTAATTTTGCATATGGAGTATAGAGTGACTCTACCAGATCATGATTTTTAGGATTTTTCTAAAAATGCTTCTTTTGTTAAACCAGTTGTTATCTTGATTGTAGATGGTGAGATGTTAATCCTTGTTATCAAAAGTTATTTTTTAAAGTAAAGTAAATAAGTAAAGTAAGTATCAAAAGGTAATTTTTAAAGTAAAGTAAAGTAAATAAATTGTATTAGCTTAGTTAATCCCATAATAAATTAAATATTTTTTAAAGGTAATTGAGGTAGCAGTTTATCTCTTGAGCATGATCTAGATCTACATTTTTGGCTGCAAAAGGAGTGCTTTTAATCGAGTAGAGAAAAGAATGGCACTATTAAGTTGTGAACTTTCAGGTGTGATTCTACTTCGTGATCATAATGGAAATCATCTTAACAATGCTAGTTTTATGATAGATGATAATCTTGAAAAAATAAATTTCCAGTATGCTGGTGAAACTTGTGGAAATCTGGTCTAATCTTTCAATTGACAAGTTTACTGTAATTGCTAAATTTATTGTTCCAGAAAAATCAGAAATTTTATCTAGTACTTAAAAAACCAAGGACAACTTCTGGTATACTCGTCATGTGCAATTAAATTAGTATTTTCTCCAAATAGTTAAGTGTGAAAATGCGAATTGCTGTAAACAACCAAGAAGATCATATTTTACAGTCATACCTGATCTTTTTTTTACCATTGATACCACTTTCACAACTCCCAGAGGGATGACTTCAAGTTCCAAACACATTATGCCATAAAAACCACAAATTTTTGTCCCTTTTTGTTAAAAAAAACCTTAAAGTTAGATGATATTATGTCTCACTTGACAACGGTTTATAGAGTTTTACCTTATGATCTGTTTTGTCCATCTGTGCAATCTCAGATGTATTTAAAAATGAATTAGATCTATCTAATGTTTAATTCATACCAAAAGAAGATGTAGAAAAAAATCTTTCCATGTCACTTCACAATGGATGAACACTTCTGCTCACCTTGGACTAATGCTGAATATTGTATTATATATATGGTTATTTCCAAGATGAGTTAGATAAATTTTGTTTGTGAAAAGTTGTTTTATCTAAATTTTGTTTTTATATTTATGTTTAAGAAGCATTTAAAAGTATTAAAACAAATGGAAGTAAGTATGCTCACTGTTTATTTGAAAATGCAAAAACTAAGTTCGTTTTTGCATTTTCAAATAAAGTGTTTTTATAACGATTTTATACAAGAGGGATGAGGTGCACAATTTTGTGACACAACAATTTTTTTCGGCGTTACCAGCAAATTATGTCATGCAATTTTTGCGCATTTTGACTACCTCCCACTCCCGTCACAACATTGTAATTTTTTAGTAATAAGTGCCCTCCCTCCTTCTTGATCTAATTTATTAACAACCCATTATAAGTAAAGGGGCTCTAAATATATGCTAAACACTCCCAAAGTTGTGCGTATGTAGCTTATTCACCATTATTAATGTACCGTAAAATCTTTTTTTTGAACTAAAGAAAACTTAAGGTCTAGGTTGGTGCGCGTAAAACTTCAAAATTAAAAGTGTTTATTTTAATTTTTTGTTTGTTGAATATTTTTTTATTATTAATTTAAAATTTGTACATGCGTAAAAATAATAATTTGTACCCACATACGAATAATAACTTTGATTTTAAACGGTAACAATTAATAAAAAACTACTAAGTAAATTTTAATTATTTTAAATTATCATAATATATAAAACATTAGAAAAAATTATATTGAGGGGGGGGATCAGTTAAGCATTAAAATTGTAAAAAACTGTGTGACAATTTATGGACAACCCTTAAGGTTACCATAAAAATGCAGTATGCATAGTATAACCCTTTGAAACCTATCTGCTCCCATTTATTTTTTATTAAAATTTGGCATTTGTATAGAAAGTGCATGTAGAAAATACTTTAAATAGTAAATAGAGCGGGATCAGCATTCCTTCGTCTACAAGGTCATGTGGAACATCAACCAAATTTTCAGAAGCAAAATAATCCATAAAAAAAGTACAGTAACCATACATAAAAGTCTTATAAAAATTAAGATTAACCTTTCTTCTTTCAAAAAAAAAAGTCTATGTGTATATATGTTTCTAAAAAGAAACTTCACAAAAATATGTTTGCCTAACTCTACCTAAAAAATATTAAAAAAAATGAGTCACAAAGTTTTAGCACAAAAATCGGTTCCATATATTGCTATTTCTGCATACCTAATATGATATGTGCTTTGATTTTTACATTGAAAAATTTTTTACTACCATTAAGACTTAATAATCAATATATCTAGTTAAAAAAATGTGTAAATATATAAATTATTAACCAAGTAATTTTTTAAATATTTGCATTTTAATGTCATTATCCTGATTTTTGAAAAACAGTAAAAAATGGCCTATAAAACATGCTAATATAAATCAATAATCAATTGGATTTTTTTAAATGTATAACCTGGTTTTTTCTAATTTTGTTTTTTAATGTTTAATAATATTAAATAATAATATTTCTTTATATATCCTATTTTTTAAAGATAGAAAAAAGCTCTTCATTTAAATGCGGTACATTTGGAGCAGCTGACCTGCAGTCTCGCTGTATAGCAACTGGCGACTTTAATGGAAAATTAGGAGTTTGGTATTGATAGTTTTTATCATTTGTTTTGTTAAATATTTTTAAATTATTATTTTGTTACATTACTCGGAGGATAGCTTCCTGAAATAAAATATGTTTACAAATCTCACAATAAACAGATCAGTGATAAAATACATTGATAAAATACAGTGATAAAATACATTGATAAAATACATTGTGTTATTCAAAATAACTTCTTGTTTACTCTTAAAACCATTTTTATATAGATAGACCATAGATTACTGTTTCCTATGTAAAAAAATTAAGATAATGTATTCCTGTTGAAAATTCCTTTTGAAAATTGAAAGTGGACAAAATAGTTCTAGTAAAATTCTGAAGTAAAAATAAAAATTTTTACTCATAAAATTTATTAAAATTCTATAAAATATTGGCAAAAGCTTTTGTTGTGATTTTGATTTGCATTATTTATTAGCTTTGCTAATTATTAACAGAAGCCACTTGTTATATTTTTTCATTATTATGTTTTATATAATGATCATTAACTGGTACTGGCCTTTTATTAATTGGTAACTGGTCATATTATTTGGTACTAGTCTTTTATTATTTGGTAACTAGTCTTTTATTAATTGGTTAAAGGTCAGATTATTTGGTACTGGCCTTTTATTAATTGGTAACTGGTTACAAGTTGTTTTTTTAAATGATATATACAGCAAACAATTTTGGTAACAAGAGAAGAATTTTTATAAATAAAAAACAGGTATTGTTAAAAACAAGATGTATTTTGCAAATAACAATAAGCTAACTGGGCGTGTTTATTATATTTAAAGTACAAAGATGGACCATTTTATTCCACAGCTGACTTCTTTCTTCATAATAAATGCTATAACTTTAGATGAATATACTTGCATACTTGCTTGCTGCTCTGCTGTTAAAGACTTAAAAGATTATGGAAAAGCTAACAGTATTAAAAGGTAATAAAACCATTATCTTTTAATAGGTGACCCCAAATTTTATAAGACAAGGATTTATATTATAAATTTTTATAACAGAGTTATCAGGTGATATGTAATCTGGGTCTTCTTTTTTTTCAACTTCTTCAACAGTCTTGACTTTTCTTATGGAACGAAAACATATTTTTATCCCAATAATTAAAACAGAGTTCAGTTGATTATGTTCCAGAGTGGCGGTTGTCAGATTTTCTTTAACAATCTTTGATTGAATTAAGAGAGGTTTCCTCATTTATGGTCTGTTGAATAGTATTTAATAAATTGTAGGCTATGGTGAGTACGAATTGTACACAGATTACTATTTGCTATTCCAGTTCTTAAGGTTACAGGTATTTGTCTTTATTTAATATTCCCAAAATTTCAGAATGACTGCGGTATGTATTTGTATGATAATCTAACTTCAATGCCAATAGAAAAAAAGTTCATGATTTTCTTTAATTGAACAAATTTAGTTGAATTAAATTATTATTGAACCTACTTCTCCTTATAACTTTATTAATAAAATTAAAAAAACTGAAACAACAAGTTTAAAATTATTTTTACTTTGAGTTACAAATACTTATATACATTTGCAAAAAAATTATTCAAGCAAAAAATAAAATCATTATTTTAATGGTTTAATTCATCTTATTTTACTCCACGCTGCGGTTGATGCCTGAATCCACTGCTCTAATTGTGTACTAAATTAAATAGAATTTTAAAAAATGCTTTTATTTTTAGGATTAACTAAAATATGTTTATAGTATCACTTCAATTGTTTCAAGTTTTCTTTAAATTGGTTGAAATATAATGATTTGACCCAAGTCACACATATTTTTTATTATTATAATGTTTTGTATCATTACAATGTTTTTTATGATTAATGTTCATTAATTGGTGACAAGGGGCACTAGTTGTATTTTTAAATGATACATATATTGAACAATTTTTGTTACAAGATGAAAATGTTTATAAGTAGCAAATGAACATTATTTAAATCATGATGGCTTTTAAATGTGTGGACAACAGTTTTACAAGGGTTTGTCACCTAGCCACACTTTAGACTAAATTTACTGTCTGTATTAAGATTTTACAGAACATTTTGAGCATTTTAAAGATCATATTGACATCAGAAAAGTTTTTTATGTCAAAGCAGTATATTTTTTGATCAGAGTAATTATGCCATGCTAATGTGTTAAAAATTGTGTCCAAGATTCAAAGTTCATTGTTGTATGTTTGTATTCAATTCTAAAAACATTGTAAAATGATACAAAATAATATTGTAAAATAAAATAACAAATGGTAAGCCAGAATGTCTTCAAAATCCAGTGATTGTTAAGATAGGCAAAGTACTTTCAAGTTAAGTTCTCCTCTACAAGACAATACATTATCTTGGTTACACGCATAATTGATAAAAAGTTGTAGTTAAATGTTTATATACTAAAAACTATATACTAAAAACTATATTCACATCACACTTTTTTAAAAATTAAGTTACAAATATTGATTTGGTGTCACTCTTAAAACATCTTAAAACATTCAGAATTAAACATCTTAAAACATTCAGAATAAAAAATCTTAAAACATTCAGAATTCATTGATAATTAATAATTGTGTAAATCATCAACTTAATTCTTCAGTTTTTAGCAGTACTCGTATTTTGTTCTTGCTTCCCATAATGAAATCTACATGAACTGATTCTTATATTTGCTCACTTCAAAACCTAAAACCTCTTGAAAATTTTTTTTTATAGTTTTGGAGATCATACTTTTTAACCTGATTGTTAATAAGCTCACGTACGTACGTAAGCTCATGTACGTTAAGCAAATGTATGACAGCATAAACATTAGTTATTGGAATTCTATGGGCTTTGTATGCAGGAATTCTACAGGCTTTGTATGCTCTCTCAATATAAAATATGTAATTTCTGTAGTTGAAATTTAGGGCATATCTAAAGCACGTTGTTCTGTCTGCATTGAATATCTAAAGTACGTTGTTCTGACTGCATTGAATATCTAAAGCACGTTGTTCTGACTGCATTGAATATCTAAAGCACGTTGTTCTGACTGCATTGAATTTCTAAAGCACGTTGTTCTGACTGCATTGAATATCTAAAGCACGTTGTTCTGACTGCATTGAATATATTAAATGTAATAATGAGCTTTTTATGTTCAAACCTTCTTTCAAATTTTTAAGCAATTCTAGAAGGCCAACATTGGTTTAAAAATGTCTACATTAGTTTCTGTTGAGTACTCCATGCATTGGTCATTAAAGTGATTGGATCTAGTTATCTTATGTGTCTTAATTTCCATAATATTGCTTGAGTCATGAAAGGATTGAAAACATCTGTTGCAGGTTTTCACAAGAAGGCATTTGCATTTGCATGTCATCTTGTGAAAGAAGGTTTTCACAAGAAGGCATGCATATGCATGCCATTATATGAATATGCAAATGATATTTTGTTTTAACAATTTGACAACGACTTTAAACATATTTTCAAAATTTAGAAGTGCGCTGAAAAAACTTACATAGACATAGCTAAATAAAAACTTTATTTAAAAAAAAAATATTAACAAAAGAAAAAAAATAAATAGCTAAAACACAAAAAACAAAAATATAACTCAACAAACTAAGATGTTTATTTAAATCATGTTTTTAATTTGGAATGATTAACTTTGAATCTTTTATCTTTACTAATGTTTAATGATAAACTAATGATTGTTTTAAAAATATTAGTACTTAATTTAAATTATATAAAATTATATTAATAGAAGTTTCCACATAAATAAATTATTATGAAATAATTATGCATTAAAAACCATTTCATGCTTTGTTTAAAAATTTATACATTGTTTTTTTTTAATTTGCTTCAAAAGATTAACATTTATAAAAAATACATAATTATCTAAATTAAAAAAAATATGTATAATTTTCATTAATACTTTATATAAATTATCATTATCATTGTTTTGATACTCCTTTAAAAAGCCTTGTCATAAGACAAGACAAGTTTTTAGGTTTTAATAAAAATAAAAATTATTTTTTTTTGTAATCTTTTTCAAAATCTTCAAAGCATATAGAAAAAAAACAATTAGTTGCATTAGGTGCATCAATCAAATGATAAAGAAGTTAACCAGAAAATTTGAAAGTCGTATTAATGTTTTTTTAGAAAATGTGTGACAAAATAGTATAGTAGAAAAAGCTAATTATTTGATAAAATTATGGGTGGTTATTAAAAGAACATTCTATTCTAATTTTGATTAAAAACAAAATTGTTCTTCTTGCATCTTAAGTTGGTCAATGCTACAAATACAAAATAACTTGGCAAATTTGTATTTGTATGAGATATTTGGAGAATATGAAGTTCATTTTAAGATAAATTACAAACAATAGTATTAGTATGAAGAACTTTCATTGAACTTTAAGTATTTTGCTTTGAAATGCTACAGGTTCATTTTTTTGTTGCCCACTCTAAATGACTGTACCCTAATCATGTATAACAAAGTTTGGATCATTTAAGCATTATCATTATCACTGGAACACCCAACAATGTTGTTTACATTCATTAGTGATGTACTTTATAGACAAGGAAGTTATGCTAAATATATTTCATACTGCTTTATATCAGAGAATATTACAAATGATGTAATGATGTAACAATATAAGCTTCATATACAAAATAGTTAAACTAATTATGCCCACATTAAAAGCAAATTATTTCCTTTAAACTTAAACTTAAAAAGCATCATATACTTCAATATAGAATATATTTCAACCTTATGCTGTCACTTTTGGAGGTATTTTATTATGCTGTCATTTTTGGAGGTATTTGGCAGTAGTGTATGATAATAATTGGTTAACCAGCATCATAACGTTAATTTCTCGATTTGTTAAATACAGTGTTTTTTCATGGATAGGAGTCATTTGTCAAAATTTAAAAGAACACATGACCCAATGGATTAGGTAAGTTGATGTGCAACGATGATTGATGTTTATATATATATATATATATATATATATATATATATATATATATATATATATATATATATATAAGTTTATATATATATATATATACACATATATATATATATATATATATTATATATATATATATATATATATATATATATATATATATATATATATATATATATATATATATATATATATATATATATATATATATATATATATATATATATATATATATATATATATATATATATATATATATATAACCTTCGGAATTAGGGTCGGCATTTGGCAATGCTGACATAACTGCCGACCTGAAAGTGTTTTAGATCAGCAAAAAATTTCCGACCTTGTTTCTATGTTTTATGGTCAGACCTTTGTATCATATAATAATTTTCCAAATCCAGTAATATATTTAAAAACATCACACACATAATCCATCATGGCTCTTATAACAACAAAAAAAAATTTGTCTTGTCTTGAGATAATTTAAATATACCGAAAACTATAATCACAATTTTGAAAATAGTAATTCTATATTCATATACGCATTTTTAGGCTATTTAAGTGTTATTAAATACTCTATTGGCTTTTACTTTTTTGAAATTAGTATCTTTATAGGGTCAAATCATTATATTTCAACCAATTTTGAGAAAACTTTGTGGGGCACCATCTCAGATTTTGCTGATTTTTACATATCATTATCTACATTATGTAGATAGGTTAAATTTGAAATTTCAGACTTCCAAGTGCAACGGTTCAGAAAGTATAGCTTTATAAACACTGCGCAGTGGCCTCAATTTAAGAATTGTTAAAACAGACTACTTCAAAGCCTCAAAACTTTTTTCTATCTTTCAACAAGTGGCTCGTTTTTTCTAGAAGTGTTTTCTGGGTAGTTCTGTGTTAAAAATACTAGTTTTTGTTAACTTGTGTTATATTAGAAAAAATTTAGAGCCTCCTCAACTTTGAAAAAAAAATTGAAAAATGCTAAAAAAGGCCAAAATAAAGTTAACTGTAGTAGATTTCTATTTATCAACAAGTCCTTACAGTTTAGTTTTCTGATTAGCTACTATTATCTGCAACAAATAGGCAAAAAAATAAGTAGCTTGTTGCAGTTTAGAACTGAAATATATCTAAAAATGTATTGTCGATTTGCCAAAAAAAGTCCTATTTTCAGCCATTTTGAAAGGCTCCTAATTTTTCTAACACTTTGTATTGATCTAAGCTTAACAGCAATTAAGACCATAAGATCCAACTATCTGAAAATGCAAAAATTTGAAATGCATTATTTACTTGTTGCATTCACAACAAAAATGGCAACATTTTAAAATAACCCTCATTTTTCAATTATCAAGGGTTGAATGCATTGTTGGAAACAGCGCCCCTCCAACCTGCCTATTAGCATATTCATTGGGTTCAACTAATTAAAAGTTGTTTTTTAAAAAAATGAAAGATATGGTTAATTGCCCCCATGCTAATCTGGTTTTTAACCTGGGTAGGAGCACAAATAAATAGGCAAAAGCTTACTAAAACTCAGTAATATTGGTAAATAGTGATACTTTTAGACTACAAGACTACACGCTGAAAGCAGGATAGATTTTTTTTTTTGCACTGTACATAGAAAAGTGCATTTGATGGAGTAGGTGGTACAATGAAATAAGTAATTAATAACCTACAGTGAAATAAGTAATTAATAACCGTGCATATAACTTCACAAAAAGATAAAAATCTGGTGCAGATATAACATTCTATATAGTTTTATATCTTTCTGTGATTAAATAGTTATATATTTTTATGTGAAGTTATATGCATAGTTTAGAAACAAGTTCTAAACTAAGCTACATAGTATCAACATGGTATCCTTATTGGTTTAAAAAAGTAGATTTACTTTGTTATCAAGAATTAACTTGATTATTGTATATTTGTTCTTAATAAAGAATAACTTTTATGTTTAAAACAACAAATAATATTTATATTTAATTATTAATTTAAACTTTTTAAACAAATATCAATATAAATCATATATAATTATCAATATTTTCCTAAATTCCAGAAATCTAAAATAAAAATACCATTAAGTCATTGATAATGGTAATAACGTATTTAAAAAAAAAAAAAAAAAACTGTTATAATAATTTTTACTTTTATGTAACATAGCAATCAAAATATTTATTTAAAACAAACTCTTACCCATGAAATGATATATCTGCACTAGTTTTATATCTTTTTGTGAAGTTATATGCACTGCAAGAATGCACCATAGTTGAGGATAATCAGAAAATATAATGTAAATGCATTAGAAAACTTATGATCAAAAAAAGTCTACAAATTTGCATTATGTGCTAACTTTTTATTTTGGCTTCATTTTAGGATAAGCATTATTTAGCTAAGGCCATGTCTATATTTTTTGATGGTCTAAGGCCTTCATATGAAACATTTGATGAAATAACTGAATAACTTGATGTATAATAACTGAATAAAAATAAAAGGATCAATAAGAAAATACTTAAAAAGTCTAACTTAAATATTAAATTTAAAAATTATACTGATATTTGTTAAAAGCAAGTTCTGCTAATAAAATCTTAAAATCGAAAAAGCTTTTTTTTAATATTTAATAAGAAATAGTAAAAATACATTTAATTTCACAGTAAACAAAAGCTAATCATTTTAATTGAAATAAAAACAAAACAAAGTAGAAAAGTGGTAATGTTCATTCAATTACAATTTTTAATTTGTTAAGTCTCCAGCTGAACTAAAATGTTATAAAAAGGGAAAACCCAATCTAATTGTGTAAAAAGTTCTGCGGTAAGTACATTTATTAATCAAACCAAATATTTATACAACAGAAAGAAAAATGCAGATTCATGGAGTTAATATTGACCTCTCAACCGAAAGTACGATGGCAAAATAACAAGTTTTTTGTTAACATCTCAATAAATAAATTGTTATGGTAGTTTTAACAAACTCAAAAATTGTTTTTTAATGTTTTTTATAAAATAAACATAACTTGTCTTAGCACTTGGCTATCCTTTTAAGATTCAATAATAGGAGCACTAATTTCTGATTTTATGTTAAGATTGTAGCATATTCGTCTGCAATTATTTGAACAACAAGAACAAAATAGTAGCAACTATATCTAATATTTTCAACTAAACTGCATATTTTTTATATGGAGTGCTTTTCTGGTGTTCAACTTTAAAAAGTGATAAATATCTGGAAAAGATCAAAGAAGGCTAATTATAGTTATGAAGACAGACTGAGAAAGTAACTGGTTGTTAACATGCCCAAGTTAGTTAAATGAAATTAGTTAGTATTTGTTTGCCAAAGTTTTTGCCAATGTTGTAACTAATTAAAATAAACTAAGTTTGTCAACTAGATAGTTTTAATATATAATAATAATTTTTGATAACAATAATTATATTAAAAACAATCAATTAAAAAGAAGTAGAAAGATTTGTCGATTAGAAATAAGTGCCACTATTTATTATTGTTTTATTATAACAGTTTGTTTTTATTTTTTTGGGGTTTTGATGAATTTTAAATTTGAGACATTTTCATTTGTGAAAAATTGTTAAATTTAATAAAAAACTTTTTGATTTTGTTTGAAAATTATTGTAGGGATCTTGAATCACCTTCAATTCCTGTTTACTCTGTTCAAGGACATAATGAGATTATAAATTCAATAGATGGAGTCGGTGGTCTTGGAATTGGCGAGGGTGCTCCAGAAATTGTTACTGGCAGTAGAGATGGTATATAGTGTAGAGGTTTTAATTTTGAATTTCACTTTTTATTATTTGTTGGCTATTACTGTTATGTTAGCACGCAGTAATTCAATCAATATTTTTTTCTTCTTTAGAACTTAAAAGATAGAAAAAAAGATAATTTTTTATAGTTATTTTTAACACAATTTTTTTTTTTAGGATATTTAAAATATATTAAGAGATAAAAACAAAAACAATGAAAAATACATTAATTTTTTTGGAAAAAATTAATCATAAATAAAATAAGAAAAAAAGCTCATAACTTTAGCACATTTAACTTTGAAATTGTTTTTAGGCCAAACCTTAATAAGGAATGTTACCATGTTTTTTTATGCATAATGAACATCTTCTTAAAGAATCTGCAAAGTTTATGACAATATTTAACTATCAAACCGTTAAAAGTATCTTTTAAATTTTTTCTTAAATTTTCAGCTGAAGTTACAAGTTCTTTGGTATGTTTTCAGTCCAACACAGTCCAAGCATTTTCAATTGGATTCAGGTCAGGTGATCTAGGTGGCCTTTGAAGTACCCTAATATTGTTTTGCTCAAACCATTCTGTTACAGATTTTTCTTTATAGCATAGAGCGTTTTCTTGTTGAAACATCCACACCAACTCGTTACCAAAAAAAATTTCTTTGGTAGGCAGTAAATAATTTTCAAAGGTGTCAATGTATCTATGTTGGTCGATTCGACTATTGTATAACAATTGTAGACCTGGGCCATTATATATGATGCAGCTCCAAATATTAACTGCACCACCTCGACCTTGTAGCAAGGGTATAATACAGTGACTGCACCACCTCCACCTTGTAGCATAGGTACAATACAGTGACTGCACCACCTCTGCCTTGTAGCATAGGTACAATACAGTGACTGCACCACCTTCACCTTGTAGCATATGTACAATACAGTGGCTGCACCACCTCCACCTTCTAGGTACAATACAGTGACTATTATTCTTTTCATTGTGGTAAAAGCAGTTTGTTTTAATTTACAGTTACTAATTTTTTAAATTTCTTTGCAAAATTTAATTTGTTTTAAATGGTGTATTGGTTTTCATAATGGTTTTAGCAATAGCTCTTTTTACACACGATTGTGAAACTTTAAAATTCAAGATCTTTTATTCGAGATATTATATGTTAGAGTGACCTCCTTTAATAAGGCCAACAATATGCTGTTTAATTTCTTGGCTTTCTTTTTTTTAGATTTTATATTTATCCATCATTTTTTCTAGATTATAATAATAATAATAGTGTGAATTTTTACAAAAATGATGAAATAAAAACAAACTTTTAAAACACTACATATTACTTTAAATATATTTTTATTTCATTAAAAAAGAGACTTTAATTTACTATGATACAAATTTAAACACAATAAATTTATAAAAGCTCTCCTTAAACCTTTAAGAAAAGCTAGCCTGCTAAGCTTTCATTAAGTCCAGATCCATAAGCTAACTTATGAGCAGCTTTTTTTAAAACTTAAAATACCGGTTAATGATTGTACTTAGAAAAAATAAATGTGCCTAAACAAATTTTTTTAAATTTTTTGTCTCATTTTATCTGGCTATGTCTAGTTAATTGATAAATAAAAGAAGAAATTTTTTTTTTTAAAGCTTTATTAACTGAAAAAATAATATATATGGAAAAAAGTAAATTTAATTCTGCTACGTGCCACACTTTTAAGCGTGTGTTTATTGAGTTATTGAGTTCATTCAAAATTCAGGTAACTTTGCATATATATCAAGATTGCAATTTAAAACTATTGGTTGGCTTGGTGTGACCTTGCTGCACAAAATTTATCTCATGCTGTGCTAAAACACATTCCTCTAGTACATTTGTTGCTGGAATTTTAAGAAGTTGTTTTGCAATTTCACTTAAGTACAGAAATATGACCTTTTTACTTTCCAGATCAATTGATTTTCATTTATTTATATTCTTTCAAATTTCTATAGAACTCAAGATCTCATATTTAATTAAATTTATAGATTGGTTTATAGTGCTTTCATTGAATCTACTGTTAATAGTTTAGTAGTTGTTTAGTAGATTGTGTATCACCTTCAATAGCAAATCTTTTGTTAAAACTTTGCTTTTTTCTTTTAATATAACATATATATTTATTTTGAACTAAATCAGGACAAAACTGCAAGCTACTAATATTAGTTTAAGAGTCACTTGAAAATAAAATATATAGAAACTTTAAAGTTTACTGAAGATGCTTAGTTCATTAAATTGTGTTTTTTAATAAAGTAAAAAATAAAATAAAGTAGAGCATTATTAAATACAAATAATAATTTTAATCTTTTGACTTTAGGGTCTGTTAAAGTTTGGGATCCTCGCCAAAAAGATGTACCCGTTGCCAATATAGAACCTAATCCCGGTGAAGCTAAAAGAGACTGTTGGTGTGTTGCATTTGGTAAATATGTTTTTATACTGATATTTTAAAATTTTTAGTTTATAAAAGGGTTTTGGTGAAAAGTGCAACAAAGACTACCTTAATAAATATTTATCTTAATTAATATTAGTAAGGTCATATTTATTTGGATATGTATTTATGTATTTGCTTTATTTTCAATATTTTAATATCCAGTAAACAAGATTATTTTACGTATTGTAAAAATAAAATACGAGCTTTTATATAATCTCACTGGAATAAAAAGTTCAAGGGAAAACAAAAGCAGACTTTAAAAGGTAAACTGACTTTTTCTTATAAAGTCTTGATAAAACTCTGATGCAACTTGATAAAACTCTGATGCAACTCTGATAAATAAAATTAAAAAAAAGTCTAGATGACTAGAATCAGCAAAAAAATAAACCTTTAAATACAAAACCTGATTTTAAAAGGTTTTTTTTTAAAATAGAAAGAATAAAAATAAAAATAGAAATATAAAAAGCTTAAAAGTTTTAAAAAGAAATGCATTGTTAGAAGAACGAATACAAATATGACAAAAGTATTATATACAAGGGTAATAAGAGATGTTAGAGATATCAGGAGTAAAATAATGTAGAGAGACTAATAAAAAATTAGAGTTGAAACCATGGAAAAGAAAAACATTTTATGTCTGCTCAAATCCAGTAGAATTGTTTAGTTTTAGAAATTAGAGTTTTAATTTCATAAAATTAGAGTGAAATTAATGTAGAGAGAAAACCATGGAAAAGAAAAACATTTTATGTCTGCTCGAATCCAGTAGAATTGTTTAGTTTTAGAAGAATTTTAATATTTATTTATAGAAGGATATTTATATTTTTTTCTTTTTAAAATTTTTTTCTTTTTATACTTTTTTCTTTTTAAAAAATAACTTTATATTCGTTAATATTTTTTTTTCGTTAATAGGTCACTCGTATAACCAAAGTGAAAGAATGGTGGCAGCGGGATATGACAATGGTGATGTTAAATTGTTTGATCTTCGAACAATGTCTTTGAAATGGGAAACAAACCTTAAAAATGGGGTAATTTTTTTGTAATAATTTGATTTTGATAAAATTTTTTATTATTACCAATTTAAATCTAAAATAAAAGTTAGAAATTTCCAAAAGCTGGGAATCTGACTTAGCTATAAAAGACCAACAAACAATTGAGCATTTCTATATGGTTCAAAAAAATTTTGAATTGATTGACTAACTTTAAGACAACAACAAAATTGTAGCTGTATGAGTAGCTGAATCTCTGGTAACCTAGTAACATGTTTTTGTACCTCTTCAAGCTCTTTAATGACATTCCTAGGGAATGGTCATTAACTGGTGTACAGAGTTTAAGCACAGTGCAAATATAAGCTGCTTAGAGTTTAAAAAACATATACATTCCATTTTTTCAATTCCAAATGTTTTCTTGAGAATATCTAAATCAGAATTAGTCTTTAGTTACCATAATAAAACAGGCTAATGTTTTGTTATAGTAACCATAGCCAGCCAAATTAAGTTTGCGAGACACAATTTACAACCTTGGTGGCATCCAAGAGGACCAACAAGGAAGCATATCCATTGATAAGTGCTTCTATATTACCATTCAGTACCTCTAAAAGATTAGTTACAAATGATTTTGATTTAACAAAAAGATGCTACCATGGTGATATTGCTCAAGAGCAGATGATTAGCTATATAACATGTTCATTTTTCTTCATTAGCTTGCCTACTGCCAACCCTCGGAATGAGGAAAAATGAGGTCGGCAATAATTTGTCGACCTCAATCCTTTTGAATCCTTCAGGTCAGGAAAAATTATTTGATACAAAGGTCTGACCATAAAACATAGAAACAAGGTCGGCAAATTTTTGCCTACCTTAAACACTTTCAGGTCGGCAGTTAAATCGGCATTGCTGAATGCTGACCCTAATTCCGAAGGGTAAGAGATTGGTCTTTAATGACTTTAATATGTTTGTTAACTTTCTTTTCTTCTAAAACATGGGTTGAAGTTAATACTTCTTGCTTGGAAAACTCTACTACCTAGCACATGTGATCCTTCTTGCTTAGAAAAATCTACTGCCAGAAACAGTAGTGGTGTTATAGTTGAGGTTACTATAGGCTATAACACTGTAATGTTAACCTTTCACTTTTATTATTATTTTTTTTTTGTTGTATGTTTTATTTTTTGTTTAAATTTGATGTACTTTATTTTTTTTGTTTATAGAATGAAAGTTTTTTATACGTATCATCTCACTTAAGTCTTATCTCACTTTATCTTATCCCAATTATGTTTTATGCTTTATCGTATCTTTCTCATGTTATTTTAACACATCTCTTATAAAATTGTTACACCTAACTGTATTTTTCTACAAAAAAATGTGTTTGAAACAAAATTTATATTTAAAGGTGTGCGGTTTGGAGTTTGATAGAAAAGATATTGTTATGAACAAGTTGGTTGCAACAACGTTAGAGTCAAAGTTTCACGTTTTCGATTTAAGGACATATCATGCAACAAAGGGATATGCATCATTGTGTCAAACGGTAAATTCTTATTTGATTGCATTGATAATATCTAAATATAGATATTATCAATGTTTAATGTAAAAAGTTTTTTTTAACTTACTTTTTTTTATCTTTATTAACCTCTCAAAGGCCCGGGGAGCACTGTATCAATGACATAACCTTAAATTTTCACTTCTTCTGCAAGATTTTCAAAATGAGTGGCAGCTACAAGGCTACTTTAAAGTTTTGTTATTACAACCCTTTTAAATAAAGGATTTTGTGTCTACAATACAACCACTTTACACCATTTTTAGTAAATATCAAAAACAGTCAACATATCTTTCTCTTATTTTTCTTATGGTATTTGAAATAAGCTTGGTGAGTTTTTTTATGGTACTTAACATCAACTTGGTGAATTTTTTTTAAGATATTTAACATCAACTTGGTGAGTTTTTTAAGATATTTAACATCAACTTGGTTTTTTTTGCACATTATTCAGATAAAACAGGTTTTTAGCAAATATTTTCAAATGCTATTTTAATTTTGTTGTTTAAATTGTGTTGCCATTTGCTTAAAGATTTCTCAATTTCTCTTTTGCTTAAAGATTTCTGATTTTTTTGTCAATTTAAAAAAGGCTTATCACCACTCCAACCCAATCCTTCTTGATGTAGCAACAACTCCCTAGCATGTTCTCCCTATATCAGTTAATCTATGTACTGATGTTCTTAATGCAGCTTTATGATTTACTGAGTTACTAAAAATTAATTGTGTATTTGAGTGGAAAAAGAAAGTTTTGTTGTTTAAGTAAGGAGCCAATTTTTAGATATCAGAGGTTAAACTATTTGTAAAGGGCCCAAAATACTTTTTAGATTTTTTTGTAGTTTAACCATTTTTTTAAATTTTTATGCTATTTTTAAATTAAATAATATTTTATTCTAAATATTTAGGATTGTAATTGAATTTATAAAAAGGTGATTGTTTTTGCTAAACAATTGTTAAAGTAAATTAAGTTGTAAACATGTTAAGTATTTTTATTTCAACTTTATCAATTTCATTTTCATTATGATTGTTAAAGAAAAAATAATCATTTTACATAAAAAATAGTTTATACAATTTGTTTCTTTTACTGGGGAAAATATGAAATAACTTTTTGTAAGTCATCATATTATATGATTCTAGATTTCTGTGAAAACTATTAAGCATATTTTTTTTTTTTTTTTTTTTTTTTTTTTTTTTAAATAAAGTTGATCTGTGCTTGTATACCTAAAATAAATCATTCTTCACTTGGTTGTAGCATTTTAACAGATCTTTCTTTATTTCAATATATGTTCATAGACATCTAATGTACAGGTAAATGGTTCATTTACCTTATTTATTTTTAAATTCTATGCTGTTTATAATTACAAGACCATTTTTCACCATCTTGAGCAGATTTAAATCATTTCTAACTGCAGTATTAAAGTTATTCTTGAAGACCAAGTACCGCAAGGTTCTTGAATTGTTTCTTACCAACAATAATAATCTTCATGAAAATTTTACATCTAAATTGACTCTATTTCCTGATAGCTTAACCTCATACTCTTGTCTTGATAAAAAGTCTTTCTTTTTGATTGCTTAGAACAAGCAGCCAGTTTTTAATCTGACTTTTCTTCTGTAACAGTCTAACGCTTGCAGTGGCTTGTGGATTTTAAGTCTGGGCTTAAAATCTACAATTTTTGTTAGATAAAAAAACTCATTTACTGCCAAAAATATTGCAATATTGTTGGTTTTCCCATAATGAGTTGGCATTCCCATAATGAGTTTCCCATAATGAGTTGGCATTCCCATAATGAGTTTCCCATAATGAGTTGGCATTCCCATAATGAGTTTCCCATAATGAGTTGGCATTCCCATAATGAGTTTCCCATAATGAGTTTCCCATAATGAGTTGGCATTCCCATAATGAGTTTCCCATAATGATTTGGCATTCCCATAATGAGTTTCCCATAATGAGTTGGCATTCCCATAATGAGTTTCCCATAATGAGTTGGCATTCCCATAATGAGTTTCCCATAATGAGTTGGCATTCCCATTATGAGTTTCCCATAATGAGTTTCCCATAATGAGTTTCCCATAATGAAGAATCACAATCCTCTTACTCTAAAATGACCCGCCAAGGGCGAGCGCTGCTCTAAAGAGCTAGCGTCTCTTGTGCCATCTACTAAAATTCATTCTTGTGTTACTCGTCATCTTGCTCTATAAACTTCATCTTTTCTTTTCCAGTAACTTCCAACTTTGATAGTGGTTGCTTGCAGCCTTGTTGGAAGCGAAGATGTTAAGAAAAAAAAAAAGAATAGTGTTAGCTTAAAACCTTGTTGGAAGTAAATTAAAGTTTAAAGGTCTATAAAATGTATAAATATATCCCAATTTTTAATAAATAGTAAATGTAAGTATTTCAAGGTTTATTTTCAAATTCAAAGTACCCAGTTAACTGGAAATTAGGTAAGTCAGGGAAAAATCAGGGATTTTCCTTTTCTTTTCTTTTTTTCTTCCAAAATACATGGAAAAATCTTATTTAATTTGTTTTTTTGAACATTTAGCTTAAATTGCAGAGCCTTCATAAGACTTTTTCAGCCAGATTCTCCATTAGTACCATTCCTGTACAAAGAACTTGGAATGCTAATGAGATCTCTTTTCTAATGAGAATTTTATTCAGAAAAAATTTAAAAAAAAGGCAAAATCTATTAATAGGTAATTAAAATAGACTTAACCGACCACAAGTGTCACCAAAAAGAGGTAAAAATTAGTATCAACTTTTTTGCTACTTGGTAAAATAAAATAATGTGAATGGCAGGAGTTACAATTTCAAAGTGATTCTATTCAGTTTTACATTAGTGTTGTTACACAAAGTAGAATGAATAGTTTTTCAAAATAATATTTCAAAATATTAAGAAATAAGAAAAGCCATTGTGTGTAATAAATTTGTCATAGCATGTTATCTAATTTATACTTTGAAAATCAGATTAAAAATAAAATCTTGATAAAATTTATTTTTTGCTGTACTATAACTAATAATTGACACAATTTGTCAAGTCTTATGATGCTTTACTTGAGTTTCCATTGATTACTCGTTCCCTTAAGTCCCTTTTCAGATTTTATGTTTTAATTTGGTTGCTATGGTGCTTAATTTTGCATAGCAACAACATATTTTTATGTTAGCGTTATTTTAATAGTTTTTTATTTGCGCAAAATATTGCTGAAGATATATTAAAATTTATTAAGCCAAAAATTTGAAATTTGAAAAAAAGTAAAAATCTGCAAACTATACTTTGAAAAAAAAAAACTTTGAAAAGAAGTTTGTTAATTCGTGTGTTAATTGGTTTTATAAATATTTAATTGTCAGAAAAAAAGACTATGAACCAACTATTAGTAGACATGGTCTTTTTGATGAATTTCATTTGATGATAGTTCTAATAAAACTAAAAAACAGGGTGTATCTGGCTTGAATCTCATTGATCCCATGAATTATTTTTGCTTCTTGTAAGAAATTAAGAGATGAATCTAATGTTATTGTTGCTGAGAGCATTTTAAGTATTTCAATTACAGATAAAGCAAGTAAATATTCAGCAAATGAAACAGTGACCTTAATAATTGATGCCAGTCCAACAAAAGATTTCTATCAATTGATTAGAAATGGATGTTAATTGATTAAAACTGGAGCCTTAAAGAAAGAATAAAACATCTACCTCAGTTACAATGATATCAGGGATGCAGAGTAGAAATATCATCCTGGAAAATAACAGTGGAGGACTATTCAGTTTTAGTTCCTTTAAAAGATTTCATGATTTATACTTTGCAAAGAATCTGTGTAATTTAGGAACCTGTGCCGGGGCACTTGATATTGAACGATAAAGCAATAAAAACAGTGAGACTCATGTGTCTGGTTTTGATGGTGCTATTGGCCAAAGTGTTTATAAAAAAGTTATAAACCTGACATGAACAGAGATTTAAAGTATAAAGAATTGTTATTTATTACTTGTCTTGTCTATTTAACAGCAATGAAAAAGTACCTATTTGAAGAAATCAAAAATCAATCAAAAGTCATCATCCACAGCCTATTGTAGAGCCTTAGGATTTGCATACAAAACAGATTCCAATGAATCTGTGCTCAAAGAAGATCAATACGTTAAAATTAAGATAGAAAGTCTGGGTATAATTTTATTAGATGTTTGCGGATCGAAGTGAATTGTATTATTGAACTAACAATGATTGGTGGGAAAGTTCAAACAATATTTTTAGACTCATACCATTACTGTTCAGTGTGTTGTGACTCTAAAAAGTATGAATAGTCTTGATGTCTTTAGTATAGATTATACTTGATGTCTTTAGTATAGATTATACAGAGAATTCAAATTTAATCTTTGATTTGATTCGATTTTTGAGATGTTTTTGCACATTGCATATAAAAAAGAAACAAGAAAGTGGCAAGCAAGATTAAAGAACATTAAGAAAAAGTATGTGTAACTAAACAAAAGATTCAGACTGATTTTATAAACAAAATTGGACTTGTTGATTTCCCCAAAAGTTCTAGTTTAAGCAATTATGGTAATACTTCTAGACGTTCTTTTAGAGAATATGAACTAACAGATAAAATTCTGCGTATCCCTGGTGTCCCTTTATTCATGGTATTACAATCTGTGCACAAAATATTGATACAAGGACATGAGATAACTCAATACCCTTAGAACTTATGTCAGAGGAAGCTTAAGGACTAGAAATAACGACTTTAAATCTTATCGCAAAAATTTCAGCTAAAAAACATCCAGAAGAGCAGCAAATACTTATGTTATCAATAGACTCTAGTGACCCTATTATTTCATCACTGCGTAAATCAACATCCCACCGAACAAATCATGAAACATTTCTTTCAGATATTTTACAATTACTTAAACAATCTTCAAATCATATTGTTTTATAAATTTTTATGTTATTTAAAATTTACTATGTTCTTGCACTATTTTTTTTTTTTTTTTTTATTGTTGCTAAAACCTGAATAACCTAAGTGTTTAATAGTTATTCAAAATAATTTGGTACAAATCTGATAAAATCTATTCAAAAATCAATTTACTCCTTTGTAACTAAGCAATATAAGTTACCGTAGCAACTAAATTTAAAAAAATTATCATTTTTATTAGAAGCACAATCTCATATTGGTACTCATGCCAAATTTAGTGAATTTGCCACGTAAAATATCTGCAAATACCAAAAAAGGTTTTTGCTAAGCAAAACATAGGTATCCATAGCCTTAAAATAAAAAAATACCTTCATAGGAAGCACAGACATCATATTAGTAGTCATCTTAATTTTACTGAGTAATATTAATATTAATTTATTTTAGCCCTTATATTAATTTAGTTATGAATTTCGTCCAGTAATAGTGAATTCTTGCCCACTGTGCCACAGTACGGGCATGTGTCTATATATTGTTTATGAGCTTTGTCTATTATTGTCATTAAATTGATGTTTCTTTTTTTATTAGTTTTTATTTTTTCTTAGTTTATTTTGTTTAAAAATTAGTTTTTTATTTATTTTATTCTTCTCTCATTCATTTACTGCTTGTGGCAAGTTTATATGTCAAAGTTTTTAACAATAGATGATTCTCACAAATTTTACTTGAAATCTTTTTTTCATTTACTTTTTTTGTTTATTTTAAAAAGTTCTAATTTTTGACCTCTAGTACATTACTTTTTCATTCAGTTGCAATGCAAAGAATGCTTCAAAACAATTGTACAAATTAATAGATTTACGATTTTTTTTGGTGTTAGTTTTTTTTTTTTTTTTTTTTTTTTTTTTTTTTTTTTTTTTTTTTTTTTTAATTTGCATTCACTCCCAACAAGGCTGCAAGCAACCACTATTAAGTTGGGAGTTACTAGGAGAAAAAAGAACAGAGTTATAGAGCAAGGAAACCGTTGACAGAAGACTTGAAAAGTTGAAGGTTGTATGAGTCAGGAAAACATGAAGATGGGAGAGAGTTCCAAAGGATTGAAGTGCATTGATTGAAAACATGAAGATGGGAGAGAGTTCCAAAAGATTGAAGTGGAAAAAAACTAGATGAATAAAAGTTTTTAGAGCATGCAGGGACAGATACAGTAAACGAATGAGACATAGCTGAATGAGGAGTAAAACAAGAATGAATTTTAGTTGATGGAACTAGAGATGATAACTCCTTTGAGCAGTGACCATGATAGTATTTGTAGAAAAGAGAAAGAGATGCAACTTTACGACGATGGGAAAGAGGTTCAAGCTTAGCAGATAGTCCAGGTCCAACAATATTTACAGTGCGTTTTTGAACCTTGTCAAGAAGAGAAAGTGAATCATTAGAAGAATCAGCCCAAATATGACAACAGTATTCCGTACAGGGATGAATAAGAGATTTGTAGAGGTAGAGAATGGAATCAGAAGTAAGGAAATGGCGAGCACGATAAAGAGAAGCAACCTTAGCAGAAGCTAATTTAGCAATCGATTGTATATATGGTTTCCATGAAAGGTCAGTAGTAAGCGATAATCCAAGAAGACGTAAAGAGGACGACTCAGTAAGAGGATTGCCATTCATTAATATAGGAATGTTGACCATATTACGGTAGTTGTTTGCAGTAAGAAACTGGGTTTTTTTTAGAGTTGAAATTCACAAGCCACTGTGAACCCCAATCTATTACTGAAGTGAGATTGGATTCAAGATCAGCTGCTTGTTCTAGGCAATCGAAAAGAAAAGACTTTTTGTCAAGACAGGAGTATAAAGTTGAGTCATCAGCAAAAAGAGCTACTTTAGATGAAAGGTTGTCAGGAAGATCGTTTATGTAGATAAGAAACAAAACAGGGCCCAGGATGGAACCTTGGGGAACCCCAGAAGTTACTGGAAATTAAGAAGAGTGTTGGCCTTCAAGGATGACTTTAATAAACCGGTTAGAAAGAAATGATTTGATAATCTCAAAAACTTTCCCAGAAACATCATATGAAACAAGCTTATGGAGAAGACCAGCATGCCAAACTTTGTCGAAAGCTTTAGATATGTCGAGAGCAATAGCCCTAGCCTCACCGCCTCCATCTAATGCAGGATAAAATCTTTCAGTCACAGCAGTTAGCAAGTCGGCCGTAGAGCGAGAGTATCGAAAACCGTATTGATTGTTTGACAGCAGTTTATTTGACTCAAGATGAGATGTGAGGAATTTGTTGATCAAAGACTCAAAGACCTTGCTAATAACAGAAAGAAGACTGATCGGACGATAATTGGAGGGGTCAGAATTTTCTCCAGAGTTTTTGAATATTGGAACCACAGATGCCATTTTCCAACAAGCAGGAAAACAAGACTCAGTCAAACACTTGTTAAATAGTTTAGAGAGAATTGAAGAAAGTTCTGGAGAACAATTCTGCAAGACTGTGACAGGAATGTTGTCTGGACCACAAGCTGTAGACGAGTTTAATTGAGATATGACTTTAGCAACAGAAGCCGGAGTGATTTGAATGTCTAACAATGGGTCAACCTGTTTGACTGGAATGGAAGGAAGAGAATGTCCATAAGATTCAAGAGTGGAATTAGAAGAAAAGTTCTTTGCAAACAGTTCTGCCTTATCCCTGGGAGAGGTAACAAGATCAGTCCCATGAATGAGAGATGGAATGTTAGATCTACCTTTGTTAACAATGCTGTTGAAGATTTTCCAAAAGTCTTTAGAGCCTAACTTCTGCGATAAGATGCGAGATTTAGTGAACTGAGAGTAATGGAGTTTAGCATCAGAAAGCACCTTTTTACATTGATTTCTTGCAATAATAAAGAGCCGTTTGTTCTCAAGAGAGTTGTTCTTTTGAAAAAGATGAAAAAAATGATTACGATTGGATATAGCAGCCGCACAAGAAGGAGAAAACCATGGAGTAGAATGAGGCTTGACTTGAAACTGACGAGAAGGAATAAAAGCTTCCATTCCAGCCTGAATCCAGGAGGTTACGTAGGAGGCGCATTTGTCAGCTGAGAGAGAAAAAACAGCCCAAGGACCATCACGAAGAAAATCACGAAAGGAATCCCAGTCAGCTTTAGGGTAGTAGTAGGTGGTGCGATGATAAGGTGAGTTCAAAAAAGAAGCATGAGAAGAAAGATTTATAGAGGTCATTTCATGGTCAGAACCACCTAAGGGAGAAAAGGGAGAAACTGAACATAAGCTAGGGTCAGAGACAAGATATAAGTCAAGGATTGAAGGTAAATGATTAGGATTGTCAGGAAAACGTGTCACAAAGTTAACTATCTGAGTAAAAGATTGAGAAACGCAGAAGTTAAAGGCTTTAGTGCCAGCAGGATCAGTGGTGTTAGAGTCAAGCCATTCAGTGTGATGGGCATTAAAATCACCAACAACAATATTGGCAGAGGGGTAAAGAGAGAGGGCATGGTCAATTTGATCAGAGATAACATCTACGAGAGTGCAATCATGGGAAGAAGGAGAACGATAAAGAACAAAGAGAAAGGTGATAGAGTGAAGAGGTGCTAGGCGAAAGCACATAAAAGAATGGTCAAAGGATTCGAACCTGATTTCACGACAAATAGGGGAATGAATGCGTATGTATACCCCTATACCTAGCATGTGACTAAAAAAAATACTAAAAAAAGTGAGTCTTTACGAATCAAAGGATAGTACCCATCAACACTGACATCTGAAGAAGGAATTGCAGAATTTAAATTTGTTTCACTGAGTGCAAGCAAGTCTGGTGAATTTTGCAGGAGGTAACACTCAACTGATGGAAAGTTGCTTCGTAGACCGCGAATATTTGTAAAAGATATATTAAAATATTTAGGTGGTGGGGATGGTTTTTTAGGTTTTAAATTTTTGGTTACTTTGGTCATGACGTGGGTTTAATGAGAACTTGACTCATTCATAGATAGAGCACAGCCTCCTAATCAATGAGCTATGCAGTTGTCTCAGTCCTGTTAATTAAACCTAAGCCGTGACATAGGGCTCCTTATGTGGCCTTGACAATGCACACCAAAAGCATTAACAAGGACACCATCCATGTGCAACATGGCACTGTTAATACTCTGATATTTTGCAGCTGTTGATGGAATCAGCCTCTCTGAGAGCCGCAGAGTTCGGGAAACCTTACTACCAGCCGGCCTCAAAACCATTAAACTGAGTTTTAGAGCTGTACCCTCATATGGAGATAACAGGAAGAGTTGCATAGCCATTATCAAGGAGGCATAAGCAATATTCTATGAGTAGAGTCAATGAGATCCAACATTCATCATCCTAGGCAGGAAACAATGTAACACAGGTTACATCTACGCCAGCCTAATAGATGAAGAAGAGGTTCGAGGCTGGTTAGCAGAATTTTTCTGCTTACCCCTAAAGTCTTTGCCTAGGAGGCCTTCTACAAGACAGTAGCTGGATGCAGTTAACATCTGCCCAAGATGAGTATTTTTATTGAGACACCATCTCTAGCGTTTACTCAACCAAGAGCCCCAAGGCAGGGGATGTTTAGCTGGATGCAGTTAACATCTGCCCAAGATGAGTGTTTTTATCGAGACATCATCTCTAGCCTTTACTCAACCAAGAGCCCCAAGGCAGGGGAATTTTTAGTCGGAGTTTATTTCTCCTAGCCTTTGCATAAGAAGAGCACACTCTGCAAGGCAGCAGGGCTTGTGGCAGGTGGTACTGGGTTACGTGATACCAGTTGTATCTGCCTCATATTAACTTTTCACATTGTCTAACAATTTTTTTAAAAATTATTTATTAGTTAAAATGTTTTTTAAAGTAATGTTTAAAATGTTTATTTAAATAAGTAATGTTAAAATGTTTTTTAAAATGTTTTTTAATAATATATAGGCTCATAACTCAACAATATGGTCTGTGAAACATCTTCCTCAAAATCGCGACATCTTCATGACTACTGGTGGTACAGGGTCCCTTAATCTCTGGAAATAGTAAGTCTGTAAATTTGAAAAAAGTATTTATGTTTCAAAGTTTTGAATCATAACATTTTTTTATATTTGAATTATGTAGCTCTTATCCGTCATCTCGCACTACTGAAGATTCTGATGGAATGCTGATAGGTGTGATTGGAACTGTTGCTAAGTTACAAAATGTTACTCTTTCAACACAACCTATAGCATCATTTGATTGGTGCCCTGAAAAGGTGATTGACTCGAATAATTTTTAAATTAAAAATTTTGAGTTTAAGGTTGCAGAATGTCTAAAATTTCAAATAATTTTTAAAAATTTTGTTTCCATAATAAGAATAAGTTTAAGAAAAACATCTTAAATATTTGATTCAATTTTAGACTGGATTGGCTGTATGTACATCCTTCGATCAGGCTCTTCGTGTTCTTATTGTTACCAAATTAAATACCCAATAATGTTTTGTTTTTTTTCAACCAAAAAACGTTTTCATGAAGTTATGTCTAGTTGGCTTTGTTTTTATTTCATTTTTTATATAAATTAAATATTTTATTAAATATAAATTTGAAAATGGCTTTCTCCTTATTCTACAGTTTATTCATTGGATTAAATAATAAAGGTTAACCGATACTCTGGCAATCTGTAAATTATCGGTAGTGAGGTATTGAGTTTGCCGTTGGTATAAAAAATGTCTAGCGATATTTACCTTCTTTATTAAGTTGAAGTTAATAAAAAATTAAGTTTTTAATTGAATTATAAAGTTTTTTATAATCTTGGGCTTTTTGTTTCAAAATACTTCACTGATTTACCAAGAAATAAAGAGAGTAACGAACTATTTGTTAAAATCACAAAGGGAAAAATCCGTGATTTTTTACAACCTTTTACTTAATGTGTTGTTTCTTTGTTGTATCGGAATCTTGCGATTGATTTTTCACTTCCAGACTTCACTTCTGATCAGGCAAGCTAAAGTTCTGAAACTTTCAGCGTTTCTGTAGTCGATAACAGTTATGTTAAAATTGTTTCCAGGGCTAACGACACTGGAGGGCTGATAGGCACCTTTTTCAACTTTTTATCTCGAAAAAAGTTTTATTTTTAGAAAGATATTTTTCAGAAAAAACTAATAGTTAAATTGTTAAAGTATTTTCCATCTTGCATCGTTCAATATTTCTAAAGTTATGAACCATTTTAGTATTTTTTATAAAGGTTATTACAATTTTCTCCGTTATAATGCGCAACTAGTTACAATAAAAAACACATCTTTAGCGATTGAACAAAAACAATAGGGCGGGGTTGGTTTAATATGAATAGAGTCAGGGCTTTAAAGCCTAGGTCTTAAAAATGGCTCCGGCTCAGTTAGAATTTTTGGCCCCAGGTCCGAAAAAAAAGCAGATCAAAAATTTTCTTAAATTGTTTTATGACATTTTTTATAACATTTTGTTAATCAAAATCTTAATTCATCCTTAAAAATAAATCTAAAATATCAAGTTTGAGTGAAAAACGCAGAGCGTTTAAGCCTTGTTTTGCTCGTAATATTTGGTTTTCTTCCAATAGTATTCTATATCTAGCATCAACATAAACTGCAGCTAGAAATATATCATTATCAAATGGTTTTTCTACTTGTTTCTGCATAGATTTTGAAATGTCTTCTGTAAATATTCCTTGATTCTTTTCTTGGTCGGATTTCAATTTAAACCATTCCTTTACCAACTCTCCTCAAGTAATGTCGATTAACTGTCACATCATGTGACTTTTTTAAAAAATTGCAAAGATGACTAGATTTATCCCGTATTTCAGGGTGTAAAAAAAATATCTGATCAACTGCAGCAAACTGCTCACACTGGACGCAAAAGTAATAATCTTTCAATTATCCGGAATGTAGAACCCCAGCGTGTCTCATTATCCGAAATTGAAGCAACTTTGTATTGCTTCCTTGCTAAAAATATTGGATGTAAGTTTCTTAGGTTTTTTACAACAATGAACTAATGGAATTCAAATAGCTAGCTGCAAAGTGTGAATAACACAGCGCATCAGCGCTGTGTTAGTGACAGTAGACAATTGTTGACACCAAAGTTGTTGAAATGTCAGTAGACAATTGTTGACGGCATTCTGGGTTGATAAAGGCTAAATTTTCTTCCTGAGCTTTTTCACTTTCTTCTTCATTTGTATTCTGTTGTAAAAATTCTACTTTTTCTTAATCATGCAAAGGTCAAAAATTTTCATCACCTGAACATTTGTTTAAAATTGTGATTGCTCCAATCATAATGGCTGCATTGTCTACTTGCACATACTATTTTATTATTGCTGATACCAAATCTATATGGAGAATCTTCCACCATTTTTTTGATAGCAACAGGGTTGTGCTGTCCTTGTGTATCTATCAGTGCCAAAAATATTTTCGCATAATAATATTGAATATATATTTCCAAATAGTTATTTTAGTGTCGAGTAGCTGCATCTATTTTAACATAAATAAATTTCCTTTATTTCAGTTGTTGTTTTTTTCAGCAAATTCATCAATCAAATTGCGTACAGAACTGTGTGCGGTACTGAATCCAAGAATTTTACCTAATTGGCCTGTAACCAACTGAAATCCTTCATTCGCAAATATTTTCAACAAAACTCTGTTATTCACTACCATTTTAATAATTTCAATTTTAAATGTTTTAGCACTAACTTGATTTATTGTTCAACTACTAGCAATAACAAAAGAATCTAAAGTAATCTGTTTAATTTTTTTACTATGGAAATCTTTTTAATGTGATAAAATAATTTTTTCTTTTGCCCATAAGGCTCATTTTAGATTCAATAATTTTATACTCTGATAGATGTGATTTTTCCAAATGCCGTTTCGAAACGGCATTTGGAAATAAAATAATACAATATGAAATTTTAATAAATAATACAATATGAAATTTTATATAGTAAACTTTTGATTTTTTTATTTGCATGGCGCATGAAAACCACTTTTTCATTTAATTTTTCTGTAATCTTACATGTAACCAGTTTTGTAGTTTTATCAATCGAAAAATATTTATCTAGAAACCTCTCAGGATTGTTTGAGTTTGAAGCTATTTTTATAAAAAATGATAATAAAGTAAATTACCAATTTTAAAGATAAGAGAAATAATAAAAAAAACAAAAATAATATCAATAATATCAACAACAAAAAAAACGTTTAAATCTTTTCATAATCTTATTTGGAACTCACATGTTATCTATTTTAAAAATGTTTCAACTAGTTAAAAACGGTAAAACAAGTGATGTGACGTTAAGATTCGTCCATAAAAAAAAGTTAAGTACGTTAAGTATCGTCCATAAAAGATTATACATAAAGTACACTCGAATGGAGAGGGGTCAATTATAAAAGTAAGGAGACACTCAATTAAAAAAAAATATCATAAAATGTTGAGTAGGTTGGTTAAAAAGGTTGGTACTTTTAGGTAAAAAAAAAAGTGCTTTCCCTTTTTATTTCAAAAAAGGGTAGAGCAAAATGCAAGATAGGGAGGGGGGGGGAGGAGATAAAAAAAAGCTTACATACTTTATGGACGATCCCATAACCAATCATTGACATTGTTTAGAATTATTGATTTAAAGTAACGTATCATACTCTACAATAAGAACCACATGACATACTACACAAAATTATTGTATAAAAATTAAATTCTGAAAAAAAATATATTTTTTTTTGTTTATAAATTTTATGAAAAAATGCATTGTTTAGTAATTATAATTATTTTAATAAGCGTAAAATAAAAACTTTATAAAAATTTGATATTTCAAATTATCTAAAGGGTGGAGCTGGCTCGGAGCTGGCTCCGGAGCTAGCTTCGGCTCAGCTATGTAAAATTACCATCTCCGGATATCTCCGGCTCCAGCTCCGGAGCTGCTCCAAAGCCCTGGATAGAGTTTTGAATAAATTTTTTTTTGTAATATAATTATTTTATTTTAGTTAACAACCACCATAAAAATATTTGTTATTTTTTTTTACATTCAGGTTGTGTTCGACAACTTCACAATGAGTAAAAAATAAATATAGTTTCAATAACTAATTTACTAACCCTTTTTTAACAACACCTTTTTTACATCCGTGTTACCCCACTGATGGGGTAATACTGATATATAAAAGGGTAATACGGATACTTATAATATATTTGATATATATATCATGCTTACTGATTTTCATGAATTTAAAAGGTCAAACTGTATTGCTTATGACTAGCAATTTTCTTTTTTTTACAGTCTTCTTTTTAGTTTTATTCTTTTCTTGCAACCTTGAGCTGTTAAAATTTTCTCCTTTTTGGCAAGAAGACTTTGATACATTGTATACTTACTCCCCTTCCTTAACAAGCTGTATGACAGTCATTAATTTGCTGTGATTGTATGTACCAATAGTCACCATTGACATTTTATTTCAGGCATAATAATATATTCTAGTCTTATTTTATCTAAAATATTATAAAATTAACTTTAATTGTATAAAATATAAAGTTTGATTATAAAGTAAAATATGATGATAAAATAAAATGAGGAATTCAAAAAAAATATATAAAATGTTTAGATGGGAGTTAAAGTTTTACCCTAGTCATTCAGATTAAACAAATTTGAAATACGATCCTAATGTAAATAGTTCAGTAGCATTACATAAAACTATAATATGTAACTGAGATATGTATAACACTACATTTAAAAGCAAAAGCGTGCATGTGTATGTAAATAAATTTCATTTAACTTATGATTTTGTAATAAAATTCTATAATATTAATAGGATTTTATACATATCCGTTTTACCCCATTTTAGATTTTTGTTTATCAATATTGTTACATCATGGTCCAACTAATAAATTTACATCATTATTCTTGGTAAGTAGTATTACTGAAGTCTGCAGACAAAAGTTTTGAAATGTAATGTTTTTTTATATTTTATTCAAAATAAAATGTTTTACATTTTAACTATTCATGTAAATCAAATATAAACATTGTTAATGCAAAAAAAGAAGCTAACTATGTGTATAAACTGTTGGTAGTTTTTATGTTTTAGCATTAAGTATAGATAACTTACTCCATGCATACTTATTGAATATATTCATATTATCCCACCCTACTATGCATATTTATTGAATATATTCATATTAGCCCCACCCTATTTTAATATTATATTTAGGGATGCGGAGTCCCAAAAAAGACTCCTGATTTGAATATCACAAAAAGATTATATCTTCCTATTTTTTGTTATCTATTATTTTGTTATTAGAACTCTAATAATATAAAAATGCTCATCGATTACTATTGGTAAGACTTTTAGTTAGCGGGACAATCTCTTAATAAACCCGGAGTCCTAAGGTATAATTGCGGCTAGGGCTCTGGGACTCTGGGCTTAAAAACAATATGTTTCAACTCATTAAATTTCATTTTATTTTTTTATTTAGCAGATCATAAATTAACCAACATGTTCAGAGTATTTGGACACCAGAGACTAGTAAAAAACAGAGATATAAAACCGGAGTCCTTTTGGGACTCCGCATCTCTGATTATACTAATATTTGTGCATGTCAAGATAATAGTATTTCGATTTCAAAATGCAGCTAAAGAGATTCATCTTGACATCGAAAAATCACGAGGCTTGCGAGCTGCAGGTTGTACTCCTTGTATAAACGTTTAAACAATGTAATGTAGACAATGTATTTACATGAATCTTTTTTTAATGCACAGCAGACTGAAACAATAACTTTGAAAAAACAATAACTTTGAAAAAATAATAGCATTACGAGTCTTGTGTGCAGCTATTTAGTTCTGTATATCGAGTCTTTTTAAAGCACAAAACGGTTTTTAAAAAGTAGGAATATAAAATATAGGATAGTGATTTTAACAGTGAAGGTTGAGCAATTATTTAACACAGGATTGCAAACGCTGTCTAATTATCCTTTTTTTAAATAGATAAATTTATAAAAAAAAGTAACACGTTCAAAAAAAATAAAGTGTTGACGTCAACTTTTCTTGACCTCCCCCCTCCCCCTTGTCAACAATTGTCAAAAAAATACAGACTCCCCCTATTTTTTTGACGTAATTAATGGACAAAATATGCGAGATACGCCCAAAATATGTTAAATTATCACTCAACTAAATAAAATTTAAAAAAATATTTTTTATATTGTAATTTTTACTCGACTACATGAAATGAATGTTCAAAATATTTTATAGCGCAGTTTTCACTCAATTATATAAAACCTAAGTTTTATGCTGATGATATAGTTTAATTTATATATAATACTTAGTTTAAATTATATATTATAGTTTAAATTATATAATAATTTATAGAAATATTCTTAAAGCACTGATAATCACTTCCAAATAATAGAACTAGAATTAAAATTAAAATACTCAAAATGTCTATGGATTACTAGAGGTATAAAAAAATCTTTAAAAAAAAGCAAAAAACTTTACATCATGTATTTAAAAAATAGAAATAAAAAAAATCTAAATACTTACAAACAATACCAAAGTTTATTTGAAAAAATAAAAAAAAGTTCGAGGAAAAATTACTAGTCTAACCAAATAAAAAATGCAACTGGTGACATTAAAAAAACATGGAATACTACTAATTGGAAACAAAAAAGTTAAATCAAACAGTTTACCTGCTCAAACCTTCATTGAAAATATAGAGTACAGTGACAAAAAAACGATTGCTGAAAAATTCAACGAATTTTTAGTTAACATTGGCCCTAATCTTGCCTCAAAAATTATATATCTTAATAACTCGTTTAAAGCATACCAAAGTGATACCCAGAGCAAACTAAAATACAAAGAACTAAACTACCATGAACTTAATGTTGCTCTAAATTCCTTAAAATTAAATAAAACTCCAGGTATAGATAATATCTGTAGTAGGGTAATGACAAATGTCTTTACAACAATAAATAAACCTATATTTGAAATTTTTAAGTCTTCGATTAAAACAGGAGTTGTACCGGACAAATTAAAAGTAGCTAAAGTAGTACCAATATTTAAAACAATTTTATAAAACAGAATTATATCTAATTAATAACTATAGACCTATCTCGGTACTCCCTACCTTTTCTAAGCTTTTTGAAAGAGTAATCTATAACAGATTGTATGAGTGTTTAATCCTAAATAAAAAGCAAGTTAGTTTCCAAAAACAATATTCTACTAAACATGCAATCCTGGATCTAGTTAACAACATAAGTGATTTTTTTGATAAAAAACAATATGTTCTAGGCATTTTTATAGATTTGTCAAAAGCGTTTGATATTGTAAATCATAATATCTTACTTAAAAAAATGGAAAGCTATGGGATAAAAAACATAACCCTTGACTGGTTGAAAAACTAAGTAACAGACAACGATGTGTTTTTTCAGATAGTTATAAACACTTAAAACTACTAAGAGTTGAGTGTGGTGTCCCCCAAGGTTCCATTCTTGGACCTCCTCTGTTTCTTCTATATATTAACGACCTTAAAAAAGCCTCGGAGAAACTTAATGTAATTATGTTTGCCTATGACACAAACTTATTTTATTTATCAAACTCAACCAAAGACCTTTATGAGTGCATGAACAAAGAGCTTAAAAGATTAAATTTATAGTTGAAATTAAATAAGTTATCACTAAATAAACAAAAAAACAAAATACATAATGTTTCATTCCAAAAAACAAAAAAATAATATACTAACTACCCTTCACTCACTAAAATTAGATAAGGTAAACATTGAAAGAACAGAAACAACTAAATTTCTTGGGATACTAATTGAAGAATATATATGACGAAGTAGATGACTGATGGTTAAAGCCTAATGTAGCTATGTTCGTCCTTTGTTTGAATATTGTATACTATCATTACCGTATACTATCATCTTGATTAATAGAATTTAGAAAGTAAAACGCTTTTTTACTTACAGAATAGCTAGTTGTGATCAGTATTCTATAATAAACGTCATGGTGTACACTTAACCTCTATTTTTAGAGTATCGTCGAATGTTTAATGACTTAGTATAACGTTTTAAAAAATCATAATGATAAAGTAAATACTGATTTTTTAAATACTCTTTTTTTAAAAAAATTCTTTTTTAAGTAATCATGGTCTCACTATTGAACTTTACAAATTATTGTAATCATAGACGTAGCAAGTTTTACTTTTTTAACCGCGTTGTATGTTTTTGTGACATTTTTATTGTATTTTACGTCTGAGCTAAACAGACTAAATTATTAAATAATCAAATTAAAAATTAGTACTTAACTGCATTTTGTTTTATAAATATTTTAAATATTGAGCTTATTATATAGTGATTGAGCGAGAAACGTTTAAAATAATCATTTTTTGTTGGTTTCGTTTACTTAACAATTTATCTAACTTTCGCTGCACCAAGTAACGTTCGCAAAATTAAGGTTGCAACTAATCAAAGAAAAGTTTTTTCAAACAAGATTTATTAACTGCTTAACTTTGTACTGATGTTTTTTTGATATTTTATCTTTCATCAGTTATATTGACCCTTCAGGTTTCACTTTCATTCTTTGAAACTTATTCTTTAACTTTAGCTCTCTTATTAATTTGTTTTGAATAAAAAAGGAAGTTTTAAAAGGATATCTGCTTCTTTATTAAAGTGTATTAAGTTTTATTGGTATTGATAGAAATTTTTTTAGATTTAAACAATTAGGTTCATCATCAAGTTTAATGTTTATAAAAATATAAGCACCTTTACTGCAATACAACTACGTCAGTAAAAATCTCCTTTAAAAAGACTTTATCAAGAATCATCTCAAGGTGTTACAAAAACATCAAAATTTTCTTACATATCTTTATATTATATAACAGATTCTTTAATTTTGTTTTATGTATTAATACTTTCAAATAGTAGGTTTTAATTAACAGTAAATAAACTAGTTCAGAAATATTTTAAATTTACTTTGCTTGAATGAATATTTTTTTTTTGATACCGGGTACTTTCATTTTAACTATTTTGTGTGTATATTTTTACTTTTTTACTAGAGTAATAAGAGAAAAGGGAAGACACATTGATTGAAATCAAATAAGGGTTTAGGTCGAAACTAGAACATATCTTCTTCAAGTATGTTGTATAAAAACAATTTTACTTACTTCAAGAAACAAGCCTAATTATCCTGGTTTTGAATTGTTCATTGAAAAAGAAGATTTAATAAAACTATTAACTTATCCATTAGCTAAATCAATAAAAAAACATTTTATTGAAATAATACACCGTAGGTTTTGTAAACTCAATAAAATTATTTTAGTTAGATTATTATCAAACTCGCTATCATATAAAAAGAGAATCAAATGCTTCTTGCAATGCTCGTCTGCAAGCAATCGATTCGGTGTAGCCACCAGCTCTTTCAGCAGGTTGCGCAGACCGAATATGTTTCAAATACCTAAATTAAAGAATAAAAATAAAGTAAATTATTTTAATTTCAAAATTAGTCTACCTTTGAATAAGAAAGGATTTTTTAGAAGTATCTCACCCATTTTTGATAATATCAGTTTCATCTGGAGGAGTAGGTCCAAACCATTCAATAATTGGTGCCTTGTATTCAAATAATGGAGCTTCTATTATAGGTTGACTCACTAGTTTTAAATTTTTCTAATAAACAAATTAAATAATTTGTTATTCGTTTAAATATTTCTTCTTCTTTTTAATAAAAAAAAAAAGTAAAATGGTTACCTTCTTTTCGGAGAAAAAAAAAAGTAAAATGGTTACCTTCTTTTCAGAGAAAAAAAAGAAAAGTAAAATGGTTACCTTCTTTTCGGAGAAAAAAAATGATTTTTTAGATTCTTCCTCCTCTTTACGACGTTTGACGTTGACATGCCGTGCAATAACCTCTTCAGCAGGTGCATTAGCGTAAATCTGAAAAACAACCATTTTGTATATAAAACGGGTGATAACTGAAAAACGAGACTGGATTTACAGACACAATAACTTCTTTAAGTTTTAACGTAAAACAAAAACTTGTTTTAAAAAGTTTTTTTATTTTAATTTTTATTAAAAAATAGAAATAAAAAACTTTTATTCTAGTTTTTTTAAATAACAACTTGAACATAAATACTTATAATAATGTCTAAAACTTGAACATAAATACTTATAATAATGTCTAAAACTTGAACATAAATACTTATAATAATGTCTAAAACAAAAATTATATTTAGATTTTTGTTTTAGACACAAAGGGTTGTTGTTATTTGTTAGCCTATTTTGTTTTATTTTATTAAATAAAAAATTACTTTGTTTAACTTGTTTTTTTTTTTTTTTTTATCATATTTTGAAATACAGTTTTTTGTCATATTTTGAAGTACAGTTAGTTACGAGTTAAAACAAAAATTTTTTTTTTAAAAAGTATTCAAAAAATTTCATTGTTTTTATAAAAGTAACAATGCTTATAATTAAAAACAAAATATGTTTCCAGTTAAATTTGGATTTCAAAAAGACAACTTTACCAGACAAGACTTTTACAAAACTAAAAAATAAAACCGAATTCAAATAAACTAGAAAAATGCTTTTTTTTTTTGAGCAAAAAACAACAACATTTTTCTAGTTTATTTGAATTCGGAATTATTTTTTAACTTTTTAAATTAAAAAAAAAAAATTAAAAAATTAAAACAGAAAATGGAAGATAAACAGAACAAATTAAACATGAAACTTGATAAACTAGGGAACTAAAAGAAACATATTTAGAGAAAAAAAATGGCAGAGCAAAAAACAAAAACAAATCAAACTGAGTGAAAGAAACTGAACAAGAACAAAACAGTGAGTGAATTAAACCAATTACCAGAATCATTTTTTTTTTCTTCCATGATTTAGTTTATTTAAAAATGTTTATGCAAATGCTGATGGCCAGCACAAACCATCAGAAAAATTAGCCTAGCTCGCTAACCCAGCTTTCTAAACTTGTTTTGATTTAGATTTTGTCTACCAAAATCCTCAATAATACATCAAGATAACATTAAGATAGTACACACTTAAATTTTAAAGAGAATTTTTATTGAAAATTAAAAAAAAATTTATTTGGGTCAGTAGACATGCCCATAACCTAATATTTTAAAACCCAGTCCCAATAAGTTACTTTTCAGCAGGTTGTCATCTACCAGCATGCAATGCATCTTTAATGCTACATATTTTGAACAAATTTGCAAATCTGTTTTAATCTTATTAAATATCAATACTTTTAAACATCAGCAGATTCCATAGCAACATTAAAAAAAAACAACTTACTAAGTCATTAATCAAATTTTCTTTTTCTTTACATTTTCTTTTCTCTGAGTCTAATTCGTCTTGAATAATTTTTTTTCTTTTATTTGCATAATCCTCTTTTTCATTTTGAAGATAAGCCAAATACATTGCCTCTTCCTGGTTCTATAAAAGAAAAATGTTACTATCAAAATTCTTAAAAACAAATTTACCTTGATATTTAAGTCAAACTGGACTATTTCCTTAAATATTAAAGTCAAACCAGACAATTTTTTTATAACTAACTTATTCTCAACAAGGCGGCAAGCAACCACTATTAAGTTAGGAGTTTCTAGAAAGCAAAATTTATTCAATCATTTTCTTGCTCTTTACAGTTATCATTCATTAATATAGGAATGTCCACAGTATTGCAAGTTACAATATTGTGGCATACATACTGCAAAAAACTATCGCATAGTTGTTTGCTGTAAACAAATTTAAGAAATTTATTGAAATACCTATAAACTTTGTTTCTTTGCACAGTGTTAGTCAATATTCATGCTATTATAGGGTTTAAAAAATATTGTAGAAAATTGAAAAAAAAAAAAAAAATCAAGTCTTATGTGCTTTAAAAAAATAAATAAAGTAAAAGCTATTAAGTTTAAACTTTTATATAAACTTTGAAAATCTCATTTGCGTTTGAAAAAGGTGACATGAGGTGTCAGCTTATTGGAAGTTTTAGTAAATCTTCAGTCTTCCTTCAAAAAAGCAAGTAAATATGTTATTCAATCTACTAATTACCAATCAATTCACTTTTGAAACCTACATTAAAAAAGTGTATCCTCTATAAAAAAAAAGCGTATTAGCCATAAAAAAAAATTTATCCTACATTAAAAAAAAAAAAAATTTATTCTCCATAAAAACAATCAATAAAGTTATAACACATCTTTATCACTGAGTATAAATTTTAACTGGTTTTAATTTTTCCTCGTTTAAAAGGTATTCAGTTATCTCTTCTTCTACTTCTTAATTAACGTTTATTTTATATGCATTGGAAGATAATAGCACAATGTAAGCCCTACAATCAAGCATCAAAAGTTTGTAATCTTTGTCTCTGCAAGAAGTTTCACATACTATCATATAAAGGAGAAAACTTACTTAATAAAAGATATGAAATAATATCAAAGCGCCGGCATTCAAACAAATTTTTACTATCCTTATTTGATACCGGGGACTAAAACCTTTTGACGTCTTTTTGTTTTGTTTTGTTTTGTTTGGTAACGTCAGAACTCATTCCACTGTAATTTTAATTTGTAATTTTTAAACGGTTTTTAAGTGACGAAATACACAAAGGCTGATGATTGCCGAAAGGCATGAAACTCAGAGTTCCATTAAAAGTTGTTTTTATTTATTTAATATAAATAAACAAATATTGCTCTATTTTTTTTTTTTTTATTTGCATTCACTCCCAACAAGGCTGCAAGCAACCACTATTAAGTTGGGAGTTGCTAGGAAAAAAAAAAAGAACAGAGTTATAGAGCAAGGAAACCGTTGACAGAAGACTTGAAAAGTTGAAGGTTGTATGAGTCAGAAAAACATGAAGATGGGAGAGAGTTCCAAAGGATTCAAGTGTGGGGAAAAAAACTAGACGAATAAAAGTTTTTAGAGCATGCAGGGACAGATACAGTAAACGAATGAGACATAGCTGAATGACTAGTAAAACGAGAATGAATTTTAGTTGATGGAACTAGAGATGATAACTCCTTTGAGCAGTGACCATGATAGTATCTGTAGAAAAGAGAAAGAGATGCAACTTTACGACGATGGGAAAGAGGTTCAAGCTTAGCAGATAGTCCAGGTCCAACAACATTTACAATGCGTTTTTGGACCTTGTCAAGAAGAGAAAGTGAATCGTTAGAAGAACCAGCCCAAATATGACAACAGTATTCCATACAGGGACGAATAAGAGATTTGTAGAGGTAGAGAATGGAATCAGAAGTAAGGAAATGGCGAGCACGATAAAGAGAAGCAATCTTAGCAGAAGCTAATTTAGCAATCGATTGTATATATGGTTTCCATGAAAGGTCAGTAATAAGCGATAATCCAAGAAGACGTAAAGAGGAGGACTCAGTAAGAGGATTGCCATTCATTAATATAGGAATGTTGACCATATTATGGTAGTTGTTTGCAGTAAGCAATTGGGTTTTTTTAGAGTTGAAATTCACAAGCCACTGTGAACCCCAATCTATTACTGAAGTGAGATCAGATTCAAGATCAGCTGCTTGTTCTAGGCGATCGAAAAGAAAAGACTTTTTGTCAAGACAGGAGTATAAAGTTGAGTCATCAGCAAAAAGAGCTACTTTAGATGAAAGGTTGTCAGGAAGATCGTTTATGTAGATAAGAAACAAAACAGGGCCCAGGATGGAACCTTGGGGAACCCCAGAAGTTACTGGAAATAAAGAAGAGTGTTGGCCTTCAAGGATGACTTTAATAAACCGGTTAGAAAGAAATGATTTGATAATCTCAAAAACTTTCCCAGAAACACCATATGAAGCAAGCTTATGGACCATTTAATTAATTAATAGTATTGAGCACTCTTAAACGTACAAGAGTATTTGTATTACTATTATTATACCATAATAATACATTTTCTATTATATATATATATATATATATATATATATATATATATATATATATATATATATATATATATATATATATATATATATATATATATATATATATATATATATATATATATATATATATTTATATATATATTTATATATATGTGCACATATAAGCAGGCCTCCACAGAGAGCGAGAACTTTATCTCTCAATTCCTGCCAAAGTAGCAAGAGTTATTTTGGCAGGAAGTTTAGTTTGGATTTTTTTTGTAGTGTTAGAAATTATATTTTAACTATACAAATAGCTGATAAAAACTTGTCAACTTCTTTCTACATAAAGGTTTTTGTTTTCGCAAAGCAGAATTAGTATTACAAACGCGAATATAATTATAACATAATAATATATATATATATATATATATATATATATATATATATATATATATATATATATATATATATATATATATATATATAATTAAAATAAAAAAAACATAAAACAAGAGCAGCATACTAAATTTTTTTCTTTGTAATATTTCGACTTGTTTTTGCATAGATCATCATAAGACGTAAAATATAATACAAATATCATTTAACTCCATTTTTTAAATAATTTTTTTAAACAGAAGTCTCCAACTGTTAGTAGAAATTTTAACGCCATTGTCACGGTTAAGAAGTATAGGAATATAGGATTTCCTGGTATGTAGTTAATATTAAGTGATTCTCTAACTTTCTCTGATTTTATTGCTAGAGTTTTTGAATGTGAAATGACCAGTTCGAATAGAAAATTCACATAACGTAAGTTATCGGCAATAAAAAGTTTTGACAATAAAATTCTTGTTAATACTTGAGGTCTGAAAAGTCATGTATTAATACATAATACAATTAATTTTTTGTCTTGTAGATTGGGATTTGCCCAATCTGACGGACAAAAACCCAAAGAAAATATTTGCGCGGTGATACACCATAAACTTAAAATTAAATCTATATTTTATACTTATTACTTACACTAATAATTTGACATCAACTATGTACATCAAATATGTTACTAAAAATGATTGACATCATTTTTAGTAACATATTTTTGGGCTAAAAAAACTTTTGTTATTTACTTGCTAAAGCTCATATTTCTAATCTCTTAATCATATATCTTGAATCTATAACAGTGATTACCAACTAACGCCACCATTCTTTTAATTTAAAATTTAAAATTTTTTTAATAAAAACCAAATGATTAAACTAAGTTTCACTAAATGAAAAAAATAACAAAAACCATTTTTTAACTTTAGTTTAGTTAAAAACCATTAACATCATTTTTCTGTTAAGTATCAAGTGTACATTAAGTCGTAGTAACCAAGTTTTAAGTATCAAACTCTACATACTATATCTCAAGGATTTGCCATCCATAATAGACCACATATTATAAGTTCACCCTCCATAACCAACTACATATTATGGCTTTAACCTCCATAAACAACTATAACATGATTATAGTATAATTAACCTTTTAGACAAAGTGCAAAAATACATTGTAAATGTAGTTAGACAATGTCATTTTTTTCTCGCAAATTTTGTAATGAAAACATGTTGACATAACATAACTTTCTCTAGGTTTAATGTTTTTTGATAACTGACATGTACAGCTTTATTTTTATTTATATATAGAACTAAATAATTTATATAATCTTTTTTTTCTATAGTCTTCTGTAAACAATTTTCTTTAACATTCTTTATTAATTCCTAACAACTCCTCACTTAAATAGTTGCAGCCAACCAGTGACAAAAAAAAGAATACCTTTGAAAAAAAGATTTATTAAATGCATAACACTTTATAATTTAGTTTAATATTTTAAGCAAATGATTGTTATTGACACTACAAATGCAAACTTTGCCTTCTGTTTTGAAGAACAATTTAAAAAATATATATGGTTAGTCAAGATAGTAGATAACATTTTATCAAGGATGTTTGACCATTGCTTTTTTTTACTTAAACTTTTTTGGTTAGCAAAAACAAAACCTTAGGGTTTTAATTTAGTAAAACTTAATGATAAACCTATCACTTTTAGAAAGAAACTCATTCAAATATTTATTTTGTTGAAAAATTATTAAAAACATCAGCAACAACAAAGAATAATACAAAATACTTATATTTTATATGAATATTTTTTGTATACTAATACAAAAAAAAAAGAGGAACAATAACAAGAGTAACACTAAAAACAATTTTAAAACAAAAAAATTCAAAAGGAATAAATGACCCACAAGTTTTGATTGGTTCTTCTTTATTAATCTTTCATTTTCTTTTTTGTACAATTCGATTTTTTTCTTTGTTTCTTCTACACTGATTTTGTTAACAATATTAAAGACTAAAATAAAGAAAATTAAAAATTACATAAAAATATATATAAAATTATATATTATTTTTATATATTATATATATAAATATAACTAGTATACTACCATATTAAATAATTGAGTAAATCACACATTTTATAAGCCACACTTATTGTCATTAGTATAAGCTACACATTTTGTTATAAGTATAAACCACACTTTTTTTTATCAGTAGATACACATTTTACTATTAGTAAAAAAAACCTTTTTTATTGTAAAAACAAGTTGTCTCTGCTAAGATGCTATGTACCTTAGCAATTAAGGCAAAGGAGTGGTTGAAAACAAACTTTTTAATTTTATTTTTAACTGTCTTGAAAGTACCATATATAAAATATAAGTTTTCACTGATGTGAAACCAGAGTGTCAGAAACTAGCATTTGATTTTTTTTAATCTCAAAAAAATTTATGCTATTTTATCTTCAAATCTCAGTGTTGATGGCTATAATCACTTGATTTGCAAAAATTCCAAAAACTCTTTCAGATGTTCACACATTTTCATGTTTTCACAACCCTCTCACATCTTCATGTTTTCACAACCCTCTCACATCTTCATGTTTTCACAACCCTCTCACATTTTCATGTTTTTACAAATCTCTCACATCTTCATGTTTCTACAACTCTCTCACATCTTCATATTTTCCTGACAATTTACAGTTTATATACAATTTACAGTTCTTTAAGTCTTTATTTTCTTTTTCTTTAACTTTGTTGTTCTCCCGCAACTCCCAACTTAATTAGTAGTTGGTTACAGCTTTGTTTAGAGTGAATTAGTTTGAAAAAAAAAGCTTGGAGTAACCCATTCATTGTGTACACACAAAAATAGTTGTAAAAATTGAACATTTTACTTATACAAAATCTTAATTTTTACCAATATAAAATATTTAATTTTACTAACATAAACTATAAATTCATATTTTTAAACACACAAAACAAAGTTTTATATAAATGCACAGATTTATTACACTTTAACCATTAAATTCAAACTTTCTTTAATTTTTCTTCATTATTTTTTAAAAAAATCTTGATGTAGTTACAATAAACAAAAGATTGTTTGAATAAATACAAAAGTAGTTTGAATGAAAAAAAAATTCTGCAAACCTTTTGAACAAAACATTGCAATAATAGAAGATCTTACAGAAGAGAAAACAAAAAAAAAAAGAAGAGAAGTTACAAAATCAAGGAGAACAAGAAGAGTTACAAAGTCAGGGAGAACAAGAGGAGTAACAAAGTCAGGGAGATGAGATGAGGGAGATAAGATGAGGGAGATGAGGATTCTGTAATTTCAAAGTAACAACAAAAGTTTTCAAGATTTTCTCTGCATTTAAAAATGCCATGTCATTTAAAAGTTTCAAAAGATTTAGTTTGGAAGGAAAGCAAAAAGTTGCATCCATCAATAAAATGGTAAAGAAAATAACTAGAAAGGAGAGTCATAGCAATGTTTTCTGAGAAAAAAATGAGTGATAAAAATAAAAACTCAAAACTTTGATTAAATTATGATTAAAAACAAATTAAGTGTTTTTCATTCTTACAACTGAGTTTAAAGTAATACAAAAAATTTATATGATTCCTATATTATTCTATTTAAAATAGGGGTGCATCGACCATTTAGCTGATGCAAAATTGCCGATGCTGATTGTTTTGAAAAATCAGATTTTTTTAGTTTCGGGTTTCTTTATTGCATGCAAAAATATCATTATTCCATAAACCAAAATGCATGTATAAGCCTAAGTTATTATAAAGATATATCTGCAACCATTTAACCTAAATATTTTTTGAAAAAGTTTCGATTTTATTTATGTCGGCTCAACATTATTTATCATTTAAAAGCAATATTTGATGATCAAATAGGGTATTAACCTGAAAGACAGAAAACTTGAAAAGTAGATCAAAAAAATCAAGAAAACATGAAGATGAAAGAGAGTTCCAAAGCATGAAGGGACAGATACAGTAAAACTTTGCTAAATGACAAGTCAAGCAAGGTTTGATTGATGAGCTTTGCTAAATGACAAGTCAAGCAAGGTTTGATTGATGAGCTTTGTTAAATGACAAGTCAAGCAAGGTTTGATTGATGAGCTTTGGTTGATGGAGCTAGAGATCATAGCTCTATCAATGATTATAGAAAAGAAAAGTTGCAACAATGTAAGATGGAAGAGTGGCTCAAGCTTAGTAGATAGAGTAGGTCTAACTACATTTATAGTTTTTAGACTTTGTCTACAAGAGAAAGAGCATCATTAGAAGAATTAGCTTAAATATGACAACAGTATTCCTTACAGGAGTGAATAAGAGATTTGTAGAAGTAGAGAATGGAATTAGGAGTAATAAAATGGCAAGCACAAGAAAGAGACCCAACATTAGCAGATGCAAACTTTGCGATTAATTGCATATATGGTTTTCATGAGAGGTCAGTAGTGAATGATAATCCAAGAAGACATAAAGAGGACTCTGTGAGAGGGCTGCCATTCATTAATACAAAAAATTTAACAATATTGCATTAGTTGTTTGCAATAAATAATTTAGCTTTGTTGAAGTTAAAATTTACAAGTCACTGCAAGTCCCAAGAATTTTACAGAAGAGAGCTCGGCTGTTCTAGTCAAAAAAAAAAAGATTTTTGCAAGATTATCAACAAGATAAAGAAATAAACATTGGATAGAAAAAAATATGGAAAAAAAAAAAAAAATTCCATTACTTTAAAAAATTTTACTAAATTTTATCTAGATTTTACACATAAAGCAAATAGATAAGATCAGCACACCTAACTTTATAGAAAACTTTTGATATGCCAAGAGCAATAGCACTTGCCTCATTTACTACATAATAGAATCTTTCAGTTAAAACAGATAGCAAGTAAACCAGAACAAGAAAATCAAAAATTGATTGTTAGAGAGTAAGTTATTAAATTAAAGATTTGGTGTTTAAATATATGTTTATTAAAAATTTAAAGAAATTGCTAATAGTAGGGGAGGGGGTCCATAAACATCATTTTTTAGATTTTTATAGTTTAACCAATTTTTTTTAATCAGTTTTTCATGCTGATTCTGAAAATCATAATCATTTTTTTTCATTTTAATTATTTAGCCTTCTGCTTTGATTTTAATAAAAGTGAATATATTGACAAAAAAGGCATTGTTAAAAATAGATGAAACTATTATTATCATTAAATATAAAAAAAGCAGAAAAGTAGAAATCTTTTTCTATTTAATTTATCAATAATATACGTTATGATTTATAAGTAACAAAAAAAAATTAAGCATATATTAATGCGGTAGTGGTGTAGCGGCAGAGTGCTCGCTTCATAAACGAGTGGTTCCTAGTTCGATCCCCACCACATCACCTGGTAGTACGCGCTCAACTCGTTTCTATGCGCAGCGGCCTTGTTCATCAAGGTTTGTGTTTCGGAGTTATAGAGTTGAGAGAAAGTTATAACCACAAATAAGTAGCCTCCTCGTCTGTAGTGGCCTTCTCGGCCTTGAGGAGGTGAATTGAATAAAAAAAAAAAAAATGAAAATAATTCATACAGTTTTATATTTACTATAAAAATGGAAAATAACTATAAAAGTCATTATATGCAATAGAGATTGCTGCGGGAACTTTCCATGTAGAACATCTAGGTTATAAGCGTGTTCTTTGGTAGACACAAGATGGAGGCTTGTATTTTTATATCAACAATCGTGTATTCAAACAGAATAGACCTCCGCGACAATGACCTACAATGTATCCCTAAAATAAAGTCTCATTTTTCGAACTTTTTCTTTATTTTAACATATATTTATTTACTTCAATAATGTCTAGTTTACAGTTAAATGGGTTGCCTTGAACTTTAATCAAACTAAAATAGAACTCATCTTGCACACCTGATGTAAAGTTTGCTGCTCTTCCATTGTTATTCTTTTTTTTTATTTGCATTCACTCCCAACAAGGCTGCAAGCAACCACTATTAAGTTGGGAGTTACTAGGAAAAAAAAGAACAGAGTTATAGAGCAAGGAAACCGTTGACAGAAGACTTGAAAAGTTGAAGGTTGTATGAGTCAGGAAAACATGAAGATGGGAGAGAGTTCCAAAGGATTGAAGTGCGGGGAAAAAAACTAGATGAATAAAAGTTTTTAGAGCATGCAGGGACAGATACAGTAAACAAATGAGACTTTCATTTGTTTTTGTAGCTGGTTTCAACTATATTCCATAGTTTCAACTTTTTGGACAATAATTTTCCAAAACATTTTTTAACTACGCAAAACTTCATTACTTATATGGTTTAAATAATTAAGTATACATCTACTGTTGAAATTAAATAGGTTTTTTCCAAAGCTTTCCAACTGCAACAACTTAATTAGAAAGTTAATACTAATCATATTCCATCATCAACCTAACACATAATACTTTTCTCTTTTGAAGTCCTGAGGCTAACTTTTGCCAAAATACTCTAGCAAGAATGATTCAATCATTCAACCTCTTTGAGGTATACTTATTAACTGCTTCTAGAGTTTTTTTTAACTAGCTATTCACTGTATTTTAGAGTAAAGCAGAAAATTTGATCACCCAGTTTGTTTTTTATAAAGCCTTTTAGGTAGCGGTATTCCTTTAGCCTGTTTATCTGTAGAGTTGTTAAACCTTTAGAATTTAACTGAACTTCTACTGACTGGAACTTTAAAAGAATATTTATTCTTGACTTCATTAAAGAAAAGTGAAGAAAAAAAAAAAGAAATCTTGAACAGCCTTTATGATAGCTTGAATAACGATTAAAAAAAGAAAAGAAAAGGAAATTAAGATATTTTGAAGCAATCTGTCTTTCTGATTACTTAAAACATTTTGTTTAGAAAGAGACTTCAGATAAAATTTTTTTTTTGAAGCAATCTGTTGTTTAAACTAATTTAAAACATTTTTTTAGAAAAAGACTTCAGATAAAACTTTTTTTTTCTAAAATGCAACGATTAAAAATCAAATTTATCCAATCAAAATTTGAATAGCATAACTTTAA